TGTTTGCTCGGTGGTCGTGCGTTTCCCCCCCCCTCTCTTTTCCGGATTTAAAAAAAAATTGTTTTCCTTCTGTTTTCTTCTTCCACTTTCTTAGAGTAGAGTTTTAGAGTATTATAACGACGTACATCTTTTTTTAACAATAAAAAAAAAAAAAAAAATACGCTTTACAATTTTCTACGGGGTGTTAATCATCATCATTATCATGTGCCGTGACGGTACATCATTTGTCATCAGAATCAAGCATCAGTTCAGGATTCTTGTCTTACTCCAGTATGGTCAAACCATCCAGCTATTTATCTCTTTGCCTTCCAATTGCTCATCGTCCACTAGGATTGGCAGTCGATACAAAGTTCTTGAGTCCTTTCTTTCTCAAAACATATTCTTTCATATGTAAAGAAATAAACGGATTGTTCAAATGCGTTTTTTACTTGGTTATGACTATGTGGTTTAATAGCATGCGACATGTTGAAACGTTTTTTTTAAACAATTCAAACATCTTGTTCTTTTTGTATGTTTACCTTTAAATGGGCGGTTGTGACCTTGTATTGTCAACTATTGTGGTTTACAACTAGGCTGCGATATATGTGCCTTTCAGACATAAATAAACAGAGGTGAAACCACTGAGACTGTAGAAATATTATATATTTCAGACACATTTGATGTCAGAAAACTCCTAAATAAGTCACTTTTTACGAGATGTTTATTAGGAAGCTATGGATCTACCCCCGCCCCCAGGAATCAACACGAAGAGCAGCCACTTGTCCAGGAAGCAAGTCTCCCAGACCCCAGCTACAGGTGTATCCCAGCATTCCTCTCGTCTCACAAACGGAAGTGAGAGACCTTGGGGATTCCCTGTCGTTCGGATTTTTTCCCCTTTGGGCGGACATTTGCTCTTTTTATTTACATGTTTGTGGAACTCCTTACTTGCCTACCCTGTTCACAGAAGGTGGCAAGTGTTGAAATTCAATAATAAAGTAGGTATCTCAGGTGAGTTTTAGGAAATAATAAGTAATTTAATAGGCAAACTGTAACTGGGCTAGGGGCAGGGGTCGGTCGAATCCTGGATTAGAATTGAGAATCGGAAGAAACCAATAAACAAAACAAAGTACAAAGTTAACAAAGCAGCTTTGTAAAGCTACACACTTAAACATTTTAGTATAATGGAAGGGTGAGAGTTGATGATAATGTCTAAAATAACTTAATTTAATGCTGAATCTTATGCTTGAAATAAATATTCATGGTCTAATCGGAAATATAGCACAGCTTCGAGTCATTTTCCGGTTGAGGCATGTAAGATAATTTTATTATTAGAAGGCCTGTCATTGAGTAGAGACACTGACGGACACCACTATGCCATCATACCTTTACCATCAGTCTCTCCGAGCCGATATATATATAGTGTCAGTAATTAACCTATTATTCTTATTCTCATCCTCATCAAATCGACAAATGTGCCTGCTAAGCTTTGCCTTACCAATCTCAAGTTCTAATCTAAACCCTCTTCACTTCAGTAGTTCAGTAGATCCCCCCCCACCACCCATCAGTAGATCCCCCCCCACCCCCCCCCTCGTGTGGGTTCCGGGGCCCCATTGTGGGGAAAACAAGAATAGACCCACTGCCTCCCCAAAAGCATGTCGTAAGAGTCGACTAATTGGGGAGCTTCCTTTGAAGTCGGAGTGCATCTGCCGGAGAGGCAAGGAACCAACAGTCTGTATTCAAGAGAATGAGATCTGTAAAACTGATGCACACGCAACACTCAGGTTCTGGAGCAGGACTGCAGTTCAGTTGTGGACGAGCAACCAGAACCTTCTGCCAGAGTTTACAGCTGGTGAACGCGAAGAAGAAGAAGTAGATCCCCCGTGTGGGTTCCGGGGCCCCATTATAGGGAAAACAAGAATAGTGAGAATAGACCCACTGCCTCCCCAAAAAGCATGTTATAGGAGTCGACTAACTGGGGGCTTCCTTTGAAGTTGGAGTGCATCTGCTTGAGAGGCAAGGAACCAGCAATCTGCATACAAATAAGTCAGATCTGTAAGTAAAATAGATGCACACGTAAAACTCAGATCCTAGAACAAAGCCAAAATCCAGAAATGGATGAACAACCAGGTTTTTCCACTGGAGTTTATAGCCGGTGAACACACACAACAACTACTTCAGTGGAGCAGATGCGGTAAATCTTTCTGTTTGTACTGCATAAATCCATGACATGGAAAACTAGTCAGATGGCTAAACCATTGAATCTATTTCCCACAAATTTAAAATGAATTGTATGATTGATGTCAGTCTTAGTTTAGACATAGATTTCTTCTTCTAAATTCTTCAGTCTACTTGACTTTCTTTATTAAGTGTCCATAAAATACAGGTATGCATTAGAATGATAATCTTGCCCTTGTGTTGTCAAAACGAGAAAATGTTGATAGGCCAACACTTGAGGAGTGATGCTGGCTATTATGAAAGCAGACTGTTTACATTTTGTTAATTCAACTTATGCAGTAAAGTCTTGTTAACACAAAATCTAAGGGACTGAACATCGAGTTCATGTTAACACAAAATCTAAGGGACTGAACATCGAGTTCATGTTAACAAAATTGTATGCTTACCATGGACTGATGGCAGTAATATATCTCTGCTGGAACAACATGTAAAACAGATGTGCATGCAAAACTGAAGTTTTGAAACAAGAGAAATCCAGAAGTGGACTGGACAAATAAACACAACTTTCCACCAGAGTTTACAGTCGGTAAATATTTAAAAAAGGCACAATTTGTTGTATAAATAATAATTTTTCTTTATTGTGTCATTTCTCAGTCTTATATGTTAGAGTTTAGTTCGAGTTCAGTAAATAGTTGAAATCACAGCACTCAGGGCATTCCCATGTGTGCTCCGCCCTCATCTTTAGCAGCCAGCGCAGAGTTCCGAAACTGATGGTACCAGTCACAATCTGGTTATATGTCTGTCTTGCCTTTCCTCTGAGTTTAGTGCCAGACCCTTTGGTTACACCAAGGTGCCTCAGTCTCTCCAGGCCATAATATTTGTTTTTTCTTTTCTGACTCCGTTGCTTGTTCCCAAAGGGCTTTGACCACATTTGCCTTTTCATCTATCAATTCACCACCCAGTGGTGCATATCCAACCAATCTGTCTGCCTGCTCATTTCCCACCAACACCAGCATGGCCTGGAGGAAAGAACCAAAGTAGGCTCACTACCCGTCAGAGCACTTATGGTTTATGACTGTGCAGTGACGCTGGTTTACATCTCCTGACTTTACCTCTCCCAGTGTAGCTTACCACTCTGCTCATTTCATCCCTGTCTTCACCAGCATGCTTTCAGATCTGTTACAATTATGTCATATGTATGCATCTTGTTCTACAGCTACCAGAAAGCTGCAGCTACTGCCTCCACCTCCATTCTCATGCTAGATGATGTGTTGTTATATGCTAGGCTGTCTTGTACCAATGGTTTTTCTGTTGGCTTTCACTACGAACCCCAAAGCCCTTCTCTTTCCCTCCAACATGGAACCATCTGTATAGATAATCAGATCATCTGGGCGGGAATTGTTGTGAATCAGCTGATGGATTTCCACCTCCGTAGCAACAGATGGCCAATCTCTGCACTCCCTGGATTTCCACCTCCTTAGCAACAGATGGCCAATCTCTGCACTCCCTGCCCATCTTGTATCTTAGATTAGCACCTTTCCAACAGCATCTCATTTCGCTTCAGATGAGCAGTATACTACATCAAACTCAGCGTCCCTCCCATTCACAGATATATGTTAAACATAATTGTCTTCAGCTTATGGTGTGGGGATTTTGCTTGCTTTGTTCTACATATTATCTTTGTATTACTGTATCAGTCTGTTGTTATCACTTCTTCTTCTTCACTTCCTCTTTTCCCCCCATGTGGGTTCCGGGGCTCCATTGTGGGGAAAACAAGAATAGACCCACTGCCTCCCCAAAAGCATGACGTAAGAGTTGACTAATTGGGGAGCTTCCTTTGAAGTCGGAGTGCATCTGCCAGAGAGGCAAGGAACCAACAGTCTGTATTCAAGAGAATGAGATCTGTAAAACTGATGCACACACAACACTCAGGTTCTGGAGCAGGGCTGCAGTTCAGTAGTGGACGAGCAACCAGAACTTTCCGCCAGAGTGTACAGCTGGTGAACGCGAAGAAGAAAACAGAAGACTTCCTCTTTTACTGCTTCGGAAGTCGAGGGAGAGTTAAGGTTCTGCCTCTAGCTCTTCTGGCCACCTCGACCATAGAAATGTCATGCTATTGTAGAGTTTCTCTGATGTTATCTTTCCATCTTGTTCTTGGTCTCTCTAGTAATCCATGTCATTCTTTTCTTTTTATGTATGCCTCATTTGGTATGACATCACACTGAACCTAAATAATTAACTCTCTCTGTTTCAGTGTCGATCCATTTGCTGCCATCACACTTTCTAGTTGTTTTGTTTCCTTGTTCTTTCCAGTAATAATAGTTGAACAACATATGAAGCCATGGTAATGTGCTGTAATAAAGATAGTTTATTTAAACTAATTAACATACTTTTATTGACATGATGAGGAAAACATCACACACAGAGTGACGATTGGTCTGTAAAATATAGGTCTAGTCCTGATGCCAAATATACCTGATGACACGGGAAAAAGTCCTTTACTTTTATTTTACTAACATACTTTTATGTAGTCGTGAGTGTAGCAGTGACATGACGTCCCCAAAAGCAATATATGTTCCTCAAATGAAGCGGTTTTAGTGGACACCTTTTTACTTTAAACTAAATTTTAAACTAGCAAATTTGGGCATCCGATTATGACCAGGTTTAAGCAACACTTGAAAATGTCAACAACAACAAAAAAGGATAGCTGTATTCAGTCACACGTGCTCACTCAAACCTACATGCATACATAGTATCTAAATATACACACATAAATATATTGTTTTCTTTCTTCCTAACAGGTTGCAGACTTTGAAAGGCTAATTTAAGCAACATTTGGAGCAACAATGGAAGATGTTACAGAGCTGATAGCATCAGGAATGGGTTCTGACTTAGTTCCCAAGGCAGTGCCAAGTCTGTTTGAGCCACTAGAATCCTTTCTTGAAGATAAGAGAGGTCAGCCGACTGAACTGAACATAATGGAGAGTGATATTCTTGCATTAGCTAGTCAAGTTGGGGATGAACTGGAGACAAGTGGAGTTGATGAGTCAAGCATAGCAGCTGATTTGTCCTTCTTGGAAGATGTAGAGACGAAAGAATCAGGTGATAAAGATGATGCTCTGGCATTCCTGGTCAGTGGTGGACAGATGGAAGTGGACGCAGAAGCTCTGGATATTCTTGATGAGAATCTGATATCAAAAGTTGATAATTATTCAGAAGATGATGAGGAATCTGATTCAGATGAGGAAATATCTGATGCTGAAAGTGGCAGCAGGAGTGAAAGTGATGATACAGAGAAGACTGATCAGGATGAAGATAACAAAGATGATGATATTGAAGATGATGGGGTCTATGGACAAGTTTCCTTCTATGATGATGAGGCAGCTTCGGGTAACTTATTAAATGTTCAAAGTTCACAGAAAACTGAATCCAAAAATAAGGTAAAACGCAAAAAGTCAAAGAAAAGGCTTAAAGCAGAAGGGGAAGGTGATTCTAAGCTATCCAAGAAAAAGCAGAAACGGAAGAGAAGAAAATTAGATGGTGATAAAGATAAAAATGGCGACACAGTTTTTAAATCAGGCTCTGGTGTGATGAGACGCAAAAATATCAGGTATAGTCATTTGTTTTCTTGTGTACCAAGTTTGTTTAATTATGCAGACATGCTATGTTTTGTTTATTGGCACAGACATGCTATGTTTTGTTTATTGGCACAGACATGCTATGTTTTGTTTATTGGCACAGACATGCTATGTTTTGTTTATTGGCACAGACATGCTATGTTTTGTTTATTGGCACAGACATGCTATGTTTTGTTTATTGGCACAGACATGCTATGTTTTGTTTATTGGCAAAGACATGCTATGTTTTGTTTATTGGCACAAACATGCTATGTTTTGTTTATTGGCACAGACATGCTATGTTTTGTTTATTGGCACAGACATGCTATGTTTTGTTTATTGGCACAGACATGCTATGTTTTGTTTATTGGACAGACATGCTATGTTTTGTTTATTGGCACAGACATGTTATGTTTTGTTTATTGGCACAGACATGCTATGTTTTGTTTATTGGCACAGACATGCTATGTTTTGTTTATTGGCACAGACATGCTATGTTTTGTTTATTGGCACAGACATGCTATGTTTTGTTTATTGGCACAGATATGCTATGTTTTGTTTATTGGCACAGACATGCTATGTTTTGTTTATTGGCACAGACATGCTATGTTTTGTTTATTGGCACAGACATGCTAATGTGTTTTGTTGGTTGCTGCAGTCCTATTATACTATCATGGACTTCCTATGCCTCACCAGTTATTGCACTCACCCACTGTGCCCCAGTCTCTGCTGTAACTCTCCCTGTCCCATGGTGCTGTTTGTTTTTTAACTTCGAAGACCCAAGTATTGTTCACTTAAAATAATCAGTTACAGACTCTGCCACTGCCATGGTAGAAGGTGATCTGTCTGTGGTTCGCACAGGCATTGTCAGTGCCACTAAAGGAATTCAGGGGAAGCACATTCATATCACTGCTAAGACTGCAAGAATTTGGAGTCAAGATTGGCATAGTCAGACACGAGAGGCACACTAGATGTACGAAAGTCTTCTCAACCAGCAGAGAACTGGCACTTTTAGCCATTGGACACTGATGTAAATATTAAGCAGGCTATCTGAGCACCTATTGACATGTCTGGAGGGCCATGAGGATAACCCAACTCTTAGCTTGAAGTGAACATGACACATACACACATTGTGATTGTAACTGACTCAGAAAGCATTCTGAGGAAGATCAGAACAGGTATGCTTCGTGCAGAGTGGCATGCTTCGCTGCGGAGGACACGGGTGAGGAGTATTGTCTGGATTTTTTCACCGGGAACGCCTGTGTATTGGGAAATGAACAGGCGGACAGACTGGCTGGCTCTGCACAACTTGGTGGAATACTGATGTATAATAGGGCAGACGTGGTTAGTGCCTTGTGGGAGAGCGTGTACAGTTCGGAGGAGCAGATGGATCACCACAGTCTGGTGAGATTGATGCAGGGGGTAACCATTAGTATCGGAACTCTTCGCTGGCTGCTGAAGATGGGGACGGGGCGCTTATGGGAATGCCCTGAGTCCTGTGATGTCAGTTCTTGAATCAGATCAAATCAGTTTGAAGTAGCAGCTTCTTAGAATAGATGTTTTGAAAGTAACACTTACTTGGTGCAGAAATTGTTTGATAATTTGTTGTCACTGATCTGTTCTTTTTACAAGTGAATGAGAACTAGTTTATTGTTCAATTGTTGCTGTAAAAGATCGTATTCATGTCCCAGGAAATAGGGAAATTCAGCAACTAATTGAGACATGAGAATATACAACTGACTGGGTCAGGCTATCAGCTGTATCATGATCATGATACAACTGACTGGGTCAGGCTATCAGCTGTATCATGATTATGATACAACTGACTGGGTCAGGCTATCAGCTGTATCATGATCATGATACAACTGACTGGGTCAGGCTATCAGTTGTATCATGATCATTTCCCCATGTGGGTTCCCAGGTCTCATGTTTGGGAAAGACAAATTCTAGACACACTGCTCTTGAACAAGGATAGTCTGACAAGGCGCCTAAATAAGGATCTGGTTAGATCAGATGTGTTGGGCCATTTGCCCATAAGAGTTCACACTCTGCAGCTCCAGCAATGACTTCCATTGATATTTGAAACACTGTATACACATGCTGTAACTGACACAGAGCTTGTTGAGAAAGGTGAAGACAGGCATGCTTCTTTGCAGAGTGACAAGAATCACATCAGTTAGCATTCTATGGAAATTTTCTCAATGTATGCTGGTGTATTGGAAAATGAGCAGGCGGATAGACTGGGCGGTTCTGCACCACTTGGTGGTGAATTGATGTAGATATTTTGAGGGCTCTTTGGGAACGAGTGAACAGTGCAGAGGCACAGATATGTCATTATGGTCTGAGGAGAATGGCGCTGCCAAGAGTTACCAAGGGATGTGGCCAACACTAAACACTCATGGGAAGGGCGAGACGGATATACAATCAGATGGCTATTGGTACCATCAGAATTTGAACTCTTTGCTTGCTGCTGAAGATGGGGACAGAACACTTATAGGAATGTCCCGAGTGCTGTGATGTTGATTCTCAATTCAACATTCTGAAACACTTCTGTATTTGAATTGAACAGCAGATTCTACAGTTGAATGCCTAAACTTCAGAGCATGAGGCAGACAGCTTAATCTACTTCTTCTTTGTTCACTGGCGGAAAGTTCTGGTTGTTAATCCGCTAGGATTTTGGCTTTGTGCCAGGACATGAGTATTGCATGTACATCCATTTTACTGGCTTACTGCAGTTGATTGTTCCTTGCCCCCTGAGCAAATATACTCCGACTTTGAAGGAAACTCCCAATTAGTCAATTCCTATGACATGCTTGTTGGGAAGGCAGTGGGTCTATTCTTGTTTTCCCCCACAGTTGGGCCCCAGAACCCACACGAGGAAAACAGTTTAATGACATAATTTTAAAAATCTTCTTGGCCACTAATTTAGCTACCTATGTTGATCACAAAGTTTGCACCATTAAAGAGAACTTTATCTTTTATGATGTCTTATTTGTGTTGGTATATTTTGCAGGTCAATTCTTAGTGGAAACAGTTTGGATAAAGAAATGTTATCAGCCCAGAATGAAGAATTTGAGCGTCAGAAACGGTTAATGGAGCTAAAGAAATCTCTTCTGTTGGAGAGTGCTGCAATGGGGAGTGCAACAGAATCGGCATCTCCTGTAGTTTCTGCGTTAACAACCAATCTTTCGGCGGGTATCTCAACAACAAATGAGAAGGATTCTCAGTTAAAATCTTTACTGCAGGGTATGTCTTACGTCTGTTAACTTGTGTTAATTTTTTATTTAATGCATTACAGATGCAGATGGTTGTTTCAGATGGTATACAGACTTGGTTTCATTTGGTTAAGGGTCATTTCTTCATTGAGGGATAAAGGGTATTAGAAGAAGAAGAAGTGGTTTAGTATCAGACATATTGCAGATAAAAATGTCTACTGTCCTTGTGAAGATATTTTGAAATCAGTTGTATTTGGATGTGGAAGAAAAAGTGTGAATAATGGCTGACTGTTTATTCTCTCTGAGCTGCTACTTAAAGGTTTTGAACCCAGCAACCTAAAGAACCACATCCTCAATGTCAGTCCAACAGGATAGATACCCGATAGCCCATTCAGCCTTCTGTGAAGTTATATTTAAGACACCTATCATTCTATGTTATCTGACATCTTGAAAGATCTGAACATTAAGGAAGATTGGCTAATAAACAGCATCCTGTCTAGGAAGCTGAAAGATTTTGGACATGTCAAGCGCCAGGACGAATTGGAAAAAATTATAACAGAAGGTATGATACCAGGAAGGAGGGGCAGGGGCCCACCGACACGAAGATGAGCACAGAATATAAGTGACTCCTTGAGTATGAAAGTACATGAGGTGGGAAAACTGGGGAGAGAACGAGTTTCTTTCAAGCAGACCGTGATGAGAGCGACGTTCTGCAAAGGACCTGCTACATGATGATGATGATAATTCTTTGTGAAAGATATTACCTTAATGTACCCTGCTTTCCTAGCTGGGTAATGGTGAACACATGTGAACTCAAATACTGACTATCTTCTTCTTCTTTTTCTTTCTTCTTCTTCTTCTTCTTTCCTCGACTGCTGGAATGCCTTGCAGCATCAAGGGATGAAGAGATCTCTGGAACTGGCCCTTCTGTTCACTTTGTTGGTAGTACTTTTCAGTGTCTCTGATATTTATGTGTTTCACGTCTGGCTCTGTTACTGTTGTATCTGTATAACATTGCTCTCTGTGGTGCCTTGTCTGATGCCAATCTTGTTACACAGCTAGTCTCCTTCTGTCTTCTATGATGGGATGCTATCTGTGATGAGATAAAACTGACATAATGTTATGTACACCATAAATTATAATGGGATTTTACTTTTTATCAGTTGCTGAAGAAGAGGCTGAAAAGGAAGCAGAAAGGAAACAAGCAGACAAAGAGATGATCAAGATCAAAAAGGAAATAGTTCCCTTTTCACCTCCATCAGGTGGGTGTTGTGTTTTAATTTTATTTTAGTTTGTAGGACAGATCACAACACACGCACATTTGTCTGTTTCTTTTTCTTTTTCAGATTTCGCTTTGCGGTTACTATGTTGCAGTTTACAGCTGGACTATGGTATCTGCACCTTTCAGACCAGCGCATCCGATTTAATCAAATCCTCAGTTAGTCACCTTTTATGACGGGCTTGTTACGGAGCAGTTCATTTGTTCAGTTCTCTTGCCTATCTTTTCATCCAGTTTTCTAAAGTTTTAAAGATTTGTCAGTTCTCATAGAAGACTAGAGTTATCTGTAGTGATGATGGGATCAAGCTGTTTGCCTCGCACTCTGAAGGTTGTGTTTGGTTTTGAACTCTGTCCTTCAGCTCATGAATACATGTGTCTTGTAAACCTTCTGAGATTGTTGATGTAGCTGTAGAGTTCTTTGTGTGACACTCAGTAGACAAACAATCATTCTACAGATATATATATGTATCCACACACACTACACCACACACATATATATATCCACACACACACCTACATATATATGTAGAGAAAGAGATGTTCTTTTTCATAGAATAAAATCATCACCACCAACAGCCAAAGTTGACACTGACAATTGATATCTTGACAGATGTAATCACCTTGAGCAGTGATTCGGAAAACTCTGAAGGTTTGGATGATGACGAGTCTGATGACGTGGTGATGGTGCCTAGTGATGAAAGTGACAGTGAGGAGGATGAAGATGATGGCCCTGAAGATATCAATAATGGTGGGTCCCACATCAATGACACCCTGAACCTGCCGGACACAGACGGAAGAGTTCAAGTCAACATCGGCCACCCTGCAGAAGATCCTGACATTTTCTTGGCACCTCAGATAGCCCAGGCTATTAAACCACACCAGGTTGGTTTTTTTATTTTATTAAGTTGGAACAAAGAGGACAACAACAATAGATTAGACAGCTCTTTGCTTGGCATATTTTGCTATATCTTACCTGGAGCATGTTGGACCCTTTCCATCTTTCCAGACTTACTTACTTAGTCGCTCCTCTTCTACCTTGGGGTAGACGTCTCTATCAGCAGTTTTCTTCCTGGCTTTGTTCCATTCTAGTCCTCTGTCAGTTAGGGACTGTCGGATGTTGTCTTCCTAGCGCATCCTGGGTCGCCTTGGAGGTCTGGTTCCCTGGTTCTTAGCCTCCCATGCCTGCCATGGTGGCCGATTTTCTTCTATTCTGCATATATGTCCAAACCATCGTAACTGTGATTGATCCACTCGGGTTTGTAAGGACTGGGTATCAAGATCTTGACATATTGTCTGATTGTGGACTTTGTCCCTTCTTGTCACTTGGACCACCTTTCTCAGATATCCCATTTCCGAGGCCTGCAGCTGGCTTCTGTAAGCTGTTGTCATTGCCCATGACTCACACCTGTAGGTCAGCACTGGTACATAGGTAGAGCGGTAAACAGCCATTTTTGTCCTCTTGCCTAGTTCTCTTTTGCTAAGAAACCCTCGGTTTATAGTCTGGAAGAGTCTCCCAACAGCTGCTTTTCGTGTAGCCAGCTCAGTCTTAATGCCTCCATTTCGGTCTAATACAACTCCAAGGTATTTGAACTGGTTAACCTGCTCCAATGCATACTGTCCCATCATGATCTGGTGTTTCTTCTCCTCTCTTGAGATCACCATGGTTTTAGTTTTGGAGATACTGATGGTCATCCTTCTCTTTTCAAACTCTTCCTTCCAGACAAGTAAGTTGGACTGAAGGTGTGCCTCTGATTTAGCTATCAGTGCCACATCGTCTGCAAATGCCAGCTCTGATTTACAGATTGGTTTCATCTTCCAGTACCCTACAGAGTACTTCTTTGTCTTCTCCTTACAGGTCTTGTTGACATCATCCATCATAAGAATGAAGAGGTCAGGTGAGAGAATATCACCTTGTCTAACACCGCTGGTGGTCTTAAATTCTTCTGACTTTTGGTCTGCCATTCTTACATAATTTCTGCAGCTTTTGTAGAAACTCTGTATTGCACTGATCAGGGGTGCTGGGATGTTTTTCCCTGCCAAGCAGTCCCATAGCTTGTTCCAGGGTACCTTGTCAAATGCCTTTTCCAAATCCAAAAAACATAGGTGCATCTCACTCTTATATTCAAGGGCTTTTTCACTCATCTGCCTCAGTGTGAAGATAAGGTCTTGAGTACTTCAGTTTGCTCTGAAGCCACATTGGGTCTCGTCCAGCTGTGGCTCTACCAGACTTCTAAGTCTCAGCTCAAGAATTCTAGAGTAACTTTTACCAGGAACGCTGAGCAGGGATATGCCTCTGTGGTTTTCACATTGTCTGTTATCATCTTTTTTAAATATAGGTATAATGATGGCAATCTCCCAATCTTTTTTGTTATAGTTTTGCTACACCAGGCTGCCTGGAGAACCTTCAGTAGAAGGCGCTCACCTGCGACTCCCATATATTTGACCATCTCTGGTGTTATACCATCATGACCTGCTGCTTTTCCCAGCTTAATCTTCTCAATAGCTGCCTTCAATTCTTCCATCCTAATGTTATCTTCCCTATGGATGATTTCCTTCTCAGCAGTGAGGTCCATTATTTCTGGGTCATGACTTCCCTCAAAGCCGAGGAGCTCTGAGAAGTATTCTTTCCATCTGCCCATGATATTATTTGTAGAAGTAAGCAGAGCCCCTTCCTTGTCTTTTATGAATTTCAGCGGACACTCTTTCTCCTTCTTCATGTTCTTGAGGGTCTTGTAGAACAGTTTTTGATTTTCTCTTGCATTCTTTTCCAACTTTTCTCAATTCTTCCCATGATTTCTCTTTTGCTTTAAGCACAATATTTTTGGTCTCTGTTCTGAGTTCCACATATTGTTTATATTTTTCTATTTCTTCAGCTGTGTTCCTGGCTGCCAAGTATTGTTTCCATGCCCTTTTCTTTTCTACTATTTTCAATTTGACTTCTTCCGTCCACCAAGGTGTCCTATGTCCCCGCCTTCCACTTGGGACGTCACCACATGCTTCTACTGCAGCTGCTGTGAGGATATTGATCTGCACCAGAGGGTTTCAGTGTCCTCTGATGGTTCTTCTTCAGTTCCTATTGCTTTCACTATAAGCTCTTGGTATCTAGCCTTGATATCTGGCTCTCTTAGCTTGTATGCCTTAATCCTCATCCCTTCTTGGTTGCTTGGTTTCTTGCATGGTTGTCTGTGTTGCCTTGTTGGAGCAGTTCTTTCAGTTGTTCTCTTTATAGTGGTCACTTCCAATCTCTGGTCCTCTCATGATTCTGGCATCTCTCAAACTTGAATGAACTTTTTCTAACTATGGCGTAGTCAATGATGGATTTTTCGTTCTTTGAAGGTTCACATCTTGTGTATGCATGTATACGCTTGTGGGGGAATTTTGTGTTTGTAATGACAAGATTCTGTTCCCTACAGAATCTGAGAAATCTTTTCAGACAGCAGTGTTATATTGTGCTGGGAAGAGGCATGGAATTTACAACCCATATTGATAGCAAGTGTGACTAGAAACATCACAGATACTTATTTGAGCTCATCCTAGAAACATCGTTGATTTATATTTATCATAATTTGCTTTTCTTATATATACATTTTAAATTATTATTATTCCTAGTAGCATCTCTTGATGCATATCTGTCCTCCTTTTTTCTCCCTAGAAACATCATTGATACTTATTTGTCCTCTTTTCTTCCTAGAAACATCATTGACACTTATTTGTCCTCTGTTCTTATTACAGATGTCCTGATACTTTTGTCCACCTCTTTTTGTCCTAGAAACATCATTGATACTTATTTGTCATCATCTTTTTTCCCTAGACACATCATTGATACTTATTTGTCCTCCTCTTTTCTTCCTAGAAACATCATTGATACTTATTTGTCCTCCTCTTTTCTTCCTAGAAATATCATTCTTACTTATTTGTCCTCTTTTCTTCCTAGAAACATCATTGATACTTATTTGTCCTCTGTTGTTATTACAGACGTCGTGATACTTTTGTCCACCTCTTTTTCTCTTAGAAACATCATTGATACTTATTTGTCATCATCTTCTTTTTTCCCTAGACACATCATTGATACTTATTTGTCCTCCTCTTTTCTTCCTAGAAACATCATTGATACTTATTTGTCCTCTTTTCTTCTTAGAAACATCATTGATACTTTTTTGTGCTCTGTTGTTATTACAGACGTCCGTAATACTTTTGTCCTAGAAACATCATTGATACTTATTTGTCATCATCTTTTTTCCCTAGAAACATCATTGATAATTATTTGTCCTCATCCCTACTTTCTTCTTAGAATCCATAATGCATGAAAGCCAATCAGTCCCTTGTCAATTCTCCTGCCTTGTTTATTCTCATACCCAAGATGTCTCCAGTATTTTATCTTCACTTTTGCGCTGGTCGAACAGTGCATTGCTTCCAGAAAACTATACTTTCAATTATTGGTCTTTCTAAATTCTCCCTAAAACCCGACTGTACTAGATCAGAAAACTGTTGCCACATGGGTAAACAAGCGAAACTTTGTCATGGGCTAAAGAAAACTAAACTTGGGGTGTGAGGAGCATGTATCAGGAAAAATTGACCATTGTTACCCAAAGAACTTGAAAGAAACAAAATAGATATACTAGGAAATTCTGAACATAGATGGACGGTTCAAGGCCACTTCATGAGCCAAACAGGAAATACATTTGTTTACACAGGAAAGGAAAACAGTGGTCTGAGCAGAGTTAGTTTTCTAATGGCATGATTACAAAAAATATTGTTTACACGTCTTGGATAGGGTCTGATCAGCAACAGAATTCTAACTGTCAGACTTCGGTCACAGAAAAGGAACATCACAGCTGTTCGAGTGAATGCAATAACATCTGAATCGGAGGAAAATGAAATTCAAATTTTTAATAGCTTTTTGGAAGATACTTTAGAAAAGGTAGGAAAAAAAGAGGCATTTTAATAATCGTTAGTGGTTTCAATGCAGATATATGTGGGAATAGAATAGAGGAAAGGGAAAAAATCATAGAGAAAAGTGTTGAAAGGAGCACAGTCAATATGTTTTGATTTAAGTAATATTTTTTTATTTTGTATATACTTTACAGGATGTTGCAGAACCAACCCCAGCATTTTTTGGCTGTTGTGATTTTTCTAGGCAAATTTTATGTTCAATAGTTTGCCATTGCTTTCTGAATGGTCAGCTCTTGGTTCCACTGTCAAAACCAACGCTAGACAAATCGTCCGAATAGTGTGAATAAATATTGAGTTAAAAAACAAATTCAAGACAAGCATGGCAGTTGAGAAGGATATGGCATCTGACGGGCTAGCCACTGAAGCTCTTCAGCTCAAAACATGATCCCTAAAACACTATATAAGAAACAGATTTACATCACAGAACAAACATTCAAGCTGATAGAATAAAGAAGAAACCCAAAGCTAATAAGGACAGAAACAAATAGCCATACAAGAGAAATTACTAGAGCAATCAGAGAAGACACGAAGCAGTTTATAACAAACACCTGTGATAGAATAGAACAACTCCAGATGCAAGGAAAGGACAAAGACATGTTTAAAGAAATAAGAAAATTAAAAGGCAAATTCAGGCCATCATTTCACATAATAAATAATACAAATGGTTACACCTTAACAGAAAGCAAGGACTTATTAGAAAGATGGAAAGAATACTGTAGAGAATTAATTATATGAGGATTTAACGAGTACTTCAAAAATGACTTATGGAAGTGAAGGAAAAGAACCAGAGCCTTTACTGTAGAGGTACAGTCAGCAATGCAGTCTGAAGAAAGGAAAGTCACCAGGTTGTGGCAAAATACAAGCAAAACTAATGACAGGAGGAAAAGCCAACATATGAATCTGCCAAGTGCTGTTGGCACAGGAGCGGAGCAACTGTGTGGGGGGGGGGGGGGGGGGGGGGCGTTTGCTATGAAGCTGAAACTAAGATTACCAGATTGCCAAGCGCTGTGCACAAAGGTCTGGAACAATGCCATTTGACCTAAAATGTGGAAAAGAGCTATTTATAGCCCTCTCGCAAATAAAGAAAATTTTTAAACTATTCACCAACTTTCATACCGTCACACTGAGTCATACCAGCAAAATCCTCTTACTAATTATCATGAAAAGATTTCTAAGAAAATTACTATCCCACAATAATGAGGGAAGAAAATAAGCGATTTTGAGCTGAAATGCCGTAGAAAGATTCTCAGAATACCATAAACCAAGAAAAAAAAAGAAATAAAAGATCTGAACATCGAGGAAGATTGGCTAGTAAATAGCATCTTGTCTTGGAAACTGAAATATTCTGGTCGATTGTAAACAATAGTAGCAGAAGGCTTGGTGCCAGAAAAGTGGTTCAAGGGCTGACTGGCATGAAGATTGGTTCAGGATATGTCACGTCTTGGGTAGGAGGAGCAGGGAGCACGAGGCGGGAGATCTGGTGAGTGGCAGAATTGCTTTCAGGCAGTTTGTGCAAAGGACTTACTACATCCTGAGGATGAAATTCTGTGACTAGTAATGTTTATCAGTTTCCCGGGGCATTCATTTTCTAATGTGTTCAACTTATGTTAGATTATATATGTGTGGAGGTTAGAATGGCTTTTAAGTCTATATTCACACACACACATTGTTGAAACTGTGTGAGCAGTCTAAACTAGGAGATTCAGGTGAGCACTTCAGAGTGCTCTGACTATGGTGTCATAAAAATAGGACTAAATCATTTAGCTGTATTTTTACTGTCATGTTTTAGATTGGTGGTGTCCGGTTTCTGTATGACAACCTCATTGAATCTGTTGAACGGCTAAGAACCACGCCTGGCTTCGGCTGTATTCTGGCTCATAGTATGGGGCTGGGAAAGACAATACAGGTGAGTGGTCCCTTTGTTTTAAAGAGTATGACAGCCACTCAGTGAGACCTAGTAGAGTCGTGAGGTTCCTCTCAGATTATGAATTCTGTAACTGCTTGAATTTTTACGGTTTGATTTCAAATAATGACAAAAAACATCTATTGCGTCTACATTTGTAATTTGTTTGTTTGTTTTTTAAATTATGTTTTCTTTGTCCATTTATTTATAGTTAAATTTTGCTTCAGCAGATTACTATTGCTTTATTGTTTACATTAAAGCATATGATAAAGTGAAACACAAAACACAAACAGCATGGGACTGCTTACCGTCTCAAAGAGTCAGATGGACAAACTAGAGCGCATACAGAACGCGGCTATGCAGGTCATTCTGGGCTGCACCAGAGACACCCCAGTGGTGTGTATGCAATACATCCTTGGTTTGCCGACGGTTGCAGGTAGGCACAAGGTGCTGCAGGCGAAGTCATATCTCAGGGTAGCTGCAGACACAGACCACCCTCTGCATGAAGCTCTGGGTGCAGTTAAGGGTCAGTGGCTGATAAGAGGGAGGTCATGGATGGCTCAGGCAGGTTTGCATCCTTGAGAACATTAGGCTAGGAGAAGAGTGGGTCAAAGTGCCACCTGAACAGTCAGACTTGTGTAGAGTCATAATCACGCTGAGCCGGGAATGTAGAGACTGGCCAGCAGGTGCCACAGAGGTGGAAATTCAGCAGTTAATTCAAGATAATGCTCGCTCAGAGGATTTGATCATTTACACAGACGGTTCAGTGTCAAGAGGCAAAAGAAGTGCTTGGGGCTTCTTAGCAAAAGTTAATGGTCGACGTTTGGTGCAGGAGAGCCTAGCATATGATACCACAACATCCAGCTTAAGAATGGAGGTGGAGGCGGTCACTGCAGCTTTCCGCTGGCTAGAGAACATGACACACACACACACACATTGTGACTGTAACTGATTCAGAAAGCATGCTGAGGAAGATCAGAACAGGTATGCTTCATGCAGAGTGGCATGCTTTGCTGCGGAGGACACGGGTGAGGAGTATCATCTGGAATTTTTCACCGGGTGACGCCGGTGTGTTGGGAAATGAACAGGCGGACAGACTGGCTGGTTGTGCACAACTTGGTGGAATACTGATACATGATAAGGGAGACGTGGTTAGTGCCTTGTGGGAGAGCGTGTACAGTTCAGAGGAGCAGATGGATCACCATAGTCTGGTGAGATTGATGCAGGGGGGAGTAACGAGAGGTTCTGGCAGATGCTCGAGGCTAAGGGAAAAGGCAAGATGGACGTTTAATCAGAATGCTCCTAGCACCATTAGTTTCGGAACTCTTCGCTGACTGCTGAAGATGGGGATGGAACGCTTATGGGAATGCCCCGAGTGCTGTAATGTCTGTTCTTTAATCAAATAAAACCATAAAGTGAAACATGGAGAAATTTTTAGAATTTTGGAAATCTTAAAACCGATGGTAACGATCTGAGAATAATTATAAAAAAACATATACTGGCAACAAGAAGCAACCATAAGGATTGACAACCAGGTTGGACGTTTTGAAAATATTAAACAAGGATGTATACTATCACTCGATTTATTCAGTTTGTACAGTGAAATAATTATTTGATCCATACATGGTATACCAGGATAATCGGTTATGGGTGTAACAATCTGCGATATGCTGATGATATAGTTTTGATTGCTGAAAATGAAACACAACTGCAAGAAATGATGAATATAATTGTAACGGAAAATGAGAACAAGGGTCTTAGTTTGAACAGCAGAAAAATAAGTAATGGTAATTACAAAGAAAGCTGACCTTCCAAAATGCAATGTCAAAGTATTGGGACAGAACTTAAGCAAGTTGATATGTTTAAGTATTTGGGTACCCTGATAACATCAGATAGAAGATGTATTAAGGAAGTTAAATGTAGAATAGCTGAAGCAAAGGCAGCATTTTTAATGAGAAGGAGAAAATTGGAGTACTCCGTGACAGTAGGAAAGTTGGAGGGAAAGAGAGGCAGAGGGAAATGATGCTTGTTAGGTTGACATCATGGCAGGGAGGATCATCTGTATCAGAGTTGGTTGAAAGTACACAAGACAGAAGGTTGTGGCTGGACATGACTACCAATGCCACATGGCATGGGGGATCATCTGTATCAGAGTTGGTTGAAAGTACACAAGACAGAAGGTTGTGGCTGGACATGACTACCAATGCCACACGGCATGGACTTCAAGACTTCAAAAGAAGAATAAGAAATTACTAATAATGCCTGAGGAAACTGATGAACATTAAATAAAATGAATTGAAGAAAAGTAAAGTAATAAGAGAAATGTCTGACAACTGGTGTCAGCACTTATAAGACAAAGTAGGTGGTCATGCTAAATTGGGCACATCCCCAGAAGAAATGAGCAGAGAATCATAAACAAGCATTGAAGTAGGAAACAGACTGATTGCGGAAACGAGAACATCTAAGTGAAACCCTGAAACTTCTCATGTGGGTTACGGGGCCTCATTATGGGGAAAATAAGAATAGACCCACTGACTTTCCAACAAGCATGTTATAGGAGTTGTGGGGACATTCTTCAAATCAGAGTACATCCACCCAAAAGGCAAGGAACCAAGAGTCTGCATACAAATAAGCCATATATGTGAAACAGATGTGCACACAAAATTTAGATTCTGGAATAAAACTAAAGTCCAGAGCTGGACAAACACAAAGAAACTTTCGCTGGAGTGTAAAGCTTGTGAATTCAAAGAAGAAGAAATCCTAAAACCAGCATTGCTGAAAGAAGCCAAAAATGCTGGACTTGATTCTATCCATGATATTGAAAGAATTGTGCAGCATAGAACAGAATGGGGAACTAGACTGTAAGCCCTGTGTGACATACAATGGGATGTTGTGAAATTGCAATTAATAGTATTCTGTAAAGGGGGGGGGGGGGTATTTAACATTGTTAATGTCATTTATTTTTCATGCATAGTTTCATTTCAGTTGATTTCATATAATGATATTACTTCGGTTGATCTCATATGCTGTTATCATGTTAGTTGATTTTTAAAAACAAAAATGATTTCAGATGATCTCCCTGATTAATGTATTCCTGCGATGTTTCAGATGGTCTCTCTGATTGATGTATTCCTGCGATGTTTCAGATGATTTCCCTGATTGATGTATTCCTGTGATGTTTCAGATGATTTCCCTGATTGATGTATTCCTGCGATGTTTCAGATGATTTCCCTGATTGATGTATTCCTGCGATGTTTCAGATGATTTCCCTGATTGATGTATGCCTGCGATGTTTCAGATGATTTCCCTGATTGATGTATTCCTGCGATGTTTCAGATGATTTCCCTGATTGATGTATTCCTGCGATGTTTCAGATGATTTCCCTGATTGATGTATTCCTGTGATGTTTCAGATGATTTCCCTGATTGATGTATTCCTGTGATGTTTCAGATGATTTCCCTGATTGATGTATTCCTGCGATGTTTCAGATGATTTCCCTGATTGATGTATTCCTGCGATGTTTCAGATGATTTCCCTGATTGATGTATGCCTGCGATGTTTCAGGTGATTTCCCTGATTGATGTATTCCTGCGATGTTTCAGATGATTTCCCTGATTGATGTATTCCTGCGATGTTTCAGATGATTTCCCTGATTGATGTATTCCTGTGATGTTTCAGATGATTTCCCTGATTGATGTATTCCTGCGATGTTTCAGATGATTTCCCTGATTAATGTATTCCTGCGATGTTTCAGATGATCTCCGTGATTGATGTATGCCTGCGATGTTTCAGATGATCTCCCTGATTGATGTATTCCTGCGATGTTTCAGATGATTTCCCTGATTGATGTATTCCTGCGATGTTTCAGATGATTTCCCTGATTGATGTATTCCTGTGATGTTTCAGATGATCTCCCTGATTGATGTATTCCTGCGATGTGCTGGCGGGAAGCGAGTGCTGTGTATTGTGCCAATCAATACTCTTCAGAACTGGCTAGCAGAGTTCAACTATTGGCTGCCCCCTGCTGAAAGACTGCACCCAGAGGATGACATGACCCAGAGCAGGACTTTCCCACTGTTTGTCATCAATGACAGTATGAAAACAACCTCAGCTAGAGCAGCTGTTGTGGGTATGTTTTCATATCTTCTGACTTGACATAACATCATTCATAGGTGTTCATTTTTTGTTTAAACTCTCTTTACTGCCTGTGTTTACCCCTTTTAGGCTGGCGTAATATTGAGGGTTCATGAACCGGTCAGTTTAGGGCTGCATGGTTTGTGTGGTCAGCACGGGCATATAGGTACAGATTTTATTGTTGTCCCCAACAGAAGAAAATCCATCACCTGACCAAGGCTTCTTATTCAGGAGGTGCAAATAAGAACCAATTCCTCTTCTGTGTTCAAATGATATTTAAAATTGATAGTTTAGTCTCTTAACAGAGTTTGGCTGCTACTTTCAAGTTATAAATGGGTTTATATAATAAAAATAATTCTTTTACTGCGGTCTTGTCGTGTCTGTAAACCCATGTTGATCATGCTAACCTCCATTTCAAAGTCAACTATTACATTCTAACATTCCTGTTTACACTCCGGGTCCTATTGTAAAAAAAAAAAACAATAGACCCACAGCCTCCCCAACAATCATTTCGTAACAGCTGACTAATTGGGGGCTTCCTTCGAATTCGTGGTATGTCTGCCAGAGAGGCAAGGAACAACCAGCTGCCCACAAATAAGCCAGTAAAAGGGACTGAGAACTGTCGGTATATGTAACAACAGCATTCAGTTTGTGGGTGAAGGTTGAAGTTACATGCGGGTTCCAGGGTCATATTGTGGGGAAAACAAGAATAGACCCACTGCCTATCCAAAATCATGTTGTACGAGTCGACAAGTTGGGAGCTTTCTTCGAAGTCGGATTGCCTCTGCCTGAAAGGCAAGGAACCAGCAGTCTGCATACACATGAGTCAGATCTGTAAAATGGATGTACACGCAACATTCCGGTTCTGGAACACGACTGCGGTCAAGAAGTGGACGAACAACCAGAACTTTCCATCAGAGTTTACAGCTGGTGAGCACGAAGAAGAAGATGGCTGTGGTGTGGATGGTTAGATTGTATTAATATTTAACACAGTAATTGGCTGACGCAGCACTGGTTAGAGAAGTCAGGGTCAACCACCACAAAGGTTGCAGCAGGACATAGGAGTTAGCTGGGGCAGGAATGTACATGAGGTCGGCAGCCAGCACAAAAGTTGCAACAGGACATAGGAGTTAGCTGGGGCAGGAATGTACATGAGGTCGGCAGCCAGCACAAAAGTTGCAACAGGACATAGGAGTTAGCTGGGGCAGGAATGTACATGAGGTCGGCAGCCAGCACAAAAGTTGCAACAGGACATAGGAGTTAGCTGGGGCAGGAATGTACATGAGGTCGGCAGCCAGCACAAAAGTTGCAACAGGACATAGGAGTTAGCTGGGGCAGGAATGTACATGAGGTCGGCAGCCAGCAAGGGACGAGTTTCAGGTGTGCTGTGATGGGAGTGATATGCTACATGATGATGTAATGATAATCTCTTCAAGGACTGTGATAGATCATTTGTGCAGGTCATGTGTGGGGATCCCAGGTCATGATTTGCTGGTCCAGCTTCATGTACTTGTCTATGCAGTCTTCTTCTTCTTCTTTTCTCTACTCCTGGAATGCTTCGCGACGTCAGGGCATGAAAAAATCTCTGGAAAGGGCCCTTCTGTTGGCTTTGTATAAAATACTTCTTCTGCGTCTCAGATATTTCTGCAGTCTATTTTGTGCGTGGTCGATCTTTGGCTCTGTTGCTGCTATATCTGTATAGCATTGCTCTCTCTGAAGCCAATCTTGTTACTTGGCCAAATCATTTGATTTGCTGTCTACCTATAAAGTTCAGTATTTGTTCTGCGCCGACTCTCCTCCTGATAACATCATTCCTAAGTCGATCTTTCCTCGTTACACCTAGCATAGTATGTAAACATTTCATTTCTGTCGTGACTATTTTCCTTCTGTCTTTTAAAGACAGTATCCATGTTTGACATTGATAGCACAGTGTTGGTAAGAATATTGTTTTGAACGATGTTCTTTTGGTGTTCATATTCATATGCTTGCATTTCAAAACTGGTGCCATTTGACCTAAAACTTAATTGCATCTTTATTGGATTTCTTTATCAATTCTTCCATCTTCTGGAAAAAAAAATGCTCCCCTTATGTTTAAAATTTGTTGCCTGCTTTAACTGGTGTTTATCAATTTTGATATCGGTAGTTATTCCTTTCCTGGAGAATGTAATCAACACTGTTTTGTCTACTTTGTTCATGTCATAGTTGTTGCAGTCTAAGTGGAATCTATTAAAATGTTTTTTTAGCTGTACTTCTGTTGGTGCTATGATTGCCTGGTCATCGGCGGAAAGCAATTAATTAGTAATTCGCCGATGTTGTCCCCTTTGCTGATGTTAACTGATTTTCAGATTTGGTCAACATATGTGATAAAGAGTAGTGGTGATAGAATACACCCCTGTCTCACTCTAGATCTAATGTAATAAATTGCTCAAATTCCTGTGTTTGTTCTAACAGCACATTGACTGTTCACGTACAAAAATTGACTGTTCACGTACAAACTGTTGTACAATTTATTACTATTAATGCAGTCATGTACTCTAAAATAGTAATGTGTATGTTAAACTAAATTTTCATATATATATCCGTATAAATATATGTTCTCTCCCACATTTTAGAGAAATGGAGGAGCAGCGGGGGTGCACTGGTAATTGGATATGAAATGTTCCGCCTGTTGTCCTCAAAGAAAGCTGCTCCAAGCAGAGCAAAGAATCGATCCAGGAAAGCCAAACAAGAGGTCATAGATATTGAAGAGGAGGACAAGAACAAAAGTCTCATGATTGGTAAGTGACATGCTTTTGTTCATTTTGTTGCATCATGGAGAACATTATTGGGTAGTGTAGATCTAATGGGCATGAGATACAACACAAATCAACAATTGTTAATATACTGCAGCAATATCTTTTAAAACTGCAATACTGGACAAGTAGAATGAACATATTTACAGTGGCATTGAGAAAAGATTGTGCACACTTACAGGACAGAGAACTGACCTCACACACACAAGGGGATGTTGAAATTGCAGCCACTTTTGTTGGTCAGATACATTTAAAATGCTACTTCTGATAGGGGATAGTTATAAAGAATGTCTTAAAAATGCCAATGTTGGAAGAAGAAGAAAAGAGAAATTTGATGAGCTTCAGCAGAAGAGTGCAGGGAAACCATCAATAGAATAGAAGCATAGTTTTATCTTCTGGACATCACATATATGTATATGGTGCAGACAGATTTTATAATAAAGTTATTGCAGACATAAATGAGAAATATACAAAAGTAAAAGAATATTGGCATTCTAATAAATCTGAACATCTAAGAAAACTGGCACTTAAACAGCATCTTGTCTAGGAAATTGAAGTACTTTGACCAAGAAAGTAATGGAGGCAAGAAAGTAATGGAGGGCATGGTACCAGCTAAGAGGGCAGGGGCCGACCAACGCACAAGTCGGGAGGAAAGTACATGAAGCAGGGGATCCTGTTGATCTGTAATAGAAGAAATGTTTGGTGAAGAACCTGCTACGTGATGTCGAGTTAATGATACATAAGCATCCTCCAGTCAGAGTATTGTTGAGCAGACATTGCCACAGATTCATCATAATTTTCACAGAAAGAGAAAAGACACCTGATTTGTAATGTCCTGAATTGGGTTTGGTGAGACAGAAATTAACACAGTATTCTTATTTATCTTATAAAATATAAATCTGTCAGTTTATCTCATGAAGAGGATTACAAGGAAATTTAGAATATAAATTACAAGTGCAGAGGAGTCATCTTTGAAAATTGTAAAGAGTACAACAGTAGAACATTCTTGTTTGACTATAGAAAAATGTTAAAACGTGCTCAACACCAGAACATGTGTTACATCATGAGGGATCAGATATTTCTGGTATATTTGGCACATTTTACCCTCCTAAATCAAATCAAAGAGGAGCTGTGGTAGGCAGCAGCTAGTTACCCACCTGCCGGCCCAAAGGTCTGGGGTGAACATGTGCATTACCAATTTTTTTCAAAATTTACTTTGCCTCTCAGATTGACCTAGCTTAAATTTGGGTACCAAGTAAGGAGGTCCTGGAAAGTAAAAAGGTCCTTTAATCAAAATGTTACATCCACACACAAAAGAAGTAGCTGACAAAACATCAAGTTGATTTGAGTGCAAAGGAGAGTAAGACAGGGGTGTATTTTTTCCCTCTCTCTTTTCAAAATCTGTGAAGACAATTGAGAACACTATGCTATGAAATTGGCTGTTTGCATACTCTGAAAACAGTCATCACCCATCCCAACTACTTTCTGTCATGTAAGAGTGAACAAATGAATGCTGAGACTTGTACAAACATAACAACATGTGTTTGAGTTTGTGCTGCTTGCTGGTTTCATAGAATGGAAATATTTCCAAATAAAGTTTTTAATCTCTCTAGAAGGCATGACAGAGACATTTGATTTATGACTAGTAACATAAGAGAGGAATCAGATAATGAATCCCTGTAATTCTAAAGTACTGAGTGTTCATGATAATTTCTTTCAAACAGATATGCACAGTGCTTTAGTTGACCCTGGGCCAGACTTGGTTATGTGTGATGAAGGTCACCGTATCAAGAACAGTGGCGCCGCTATCTCTATGGCATTAAAGAGTATCAAGACAAGGTATGCAGTCCTTCCTAATGTTTTATAATGGTTAACCTCTATATCTAGAGGTCAGCACACAGTGGGCATGCCTTGCACCAGGATGGTGTACCACCTTTAAACAAATTCCTTGAGTCCTCATATTGCCATTCATCATCATCATGTTGCAGGTCCTTTGCATAATACTGCTGTCATCACAGTTTTCCTGAAAGAAACCGGCTCTCCTGCCTCATGTTTTTTTTTTGTTTAATCCAAGGAGTCATTTATATCCTGTGCCCATCTTCGCCTCACCAAGCCTCTTCCCCTCCTTCCTGGTACCATGCCTTCTACTATTTTTTTTTCTACCTTTCCAATCCACCATGGTGCCTGAAATGGCCAAAATATTTCAGCTTGTAAGACAAGATGCTGTAAGATACTTACATTTCTGTACTTGTTCAAAAATAATGCTTTTGAGTTCAAAAATAATGCTTTTGACTTTTATTATAAATTTTTTTTTCTTGAAAATTACCATTACCTCTGTCTTCCCAATATTCAGTCCAAGGCCCATTTTATCACTTTCTACCATCACCGCATCTATCAATGCCAGTAGTTCTTTCTAACTTGTCCCTGTTGGTTGGTGGTCATAGCATACAGATATACCTAGATGTTTAAATATATATTACTGGTAGTCTTAGTTTCAGCTTCATTGCAAACGGGTCACCCCATTTTTGCTCCGCTCCTGCGCCAGTGAAAAACACACACAATGTTTATCACAGTCCCTTGTGGAGAGATTGACAGACTGCTGTCTCAGCATATCTATCATACACGCGCATTAAAGCATACAGTAGCCATCCGAAGTGATAACAGAAACAGTCCGACATTAGAAATGCAGTTCGTCATTGATGGTAGCAGAAGTCACCAACAGATCAGCAGTTGCCCACGCGATCAATTTTAATCACGTACGGGCACCACCAATGTTGCGGTGACAGGCATCACGCCATTTTCTGAATCTACAATTCACACCACCACGTTGGTCACAGTCTAAAAAACATTCCAAATGAAATCCGCAGCTCACAGTGTCACGTCATGCATTCAACTCAGAAGCTGGGCGACAAAACTATATCCAGTCTACAAATGGAGCAAAAATGCATCGGCCACCGTCCGGCAGAAGCAAAAAATTTGCCTCGGCTCCAAACAGTGCCCCTGCCTAGCGTCCTTTTGGACCGAACTGTTGTATATTATTACTATTAGCACTCTGGCGATTCAGGTTGTTCACTTTTGCATGATGTGGTAATATAATATCAGTAGATAAAGATGAGGTAAGAGAACATTGTAGTTTTAGTTTGATTTCCTCAGGCGACGAGTTGTTTTGACTGGTTACCCCTTACAAAATAACCTGATGGAATATTGGTGCATGGTGGACTTTGTGCGGCCAAACTTCCTAGGAACAAAGACAGAGTTCAGCAACATGTTTGAGCGGCCCATCATGAACGGACAGTGTGTCGACAGCACAGCCATGGACAAGAAACTCATGAGACATAGATCCTATGTGTTGCATAATCTTCTAGAGGGATTTGTACAGAGGTATGTAGACAATGTCGACCTGTCATTATTATTTTTCATTGGTAGCTACATTGAAAAAAATATTTATTACACACTGTATATTTCTGAATTATGAACTTCTTTTTTTAAAATGCATTTTGCATTTGTTTCTTTGTTTTATGCTTATCAGTTATATCTGGATTTTCTATTAATTCTATCTAGGTTTCATATTTGTCAGTTGTGTCTGGATGATTTAATTTTAATTTTTTTTTCTGGGGTTAATGTTTACCTTGTGTTTTCTTTATGTTTCATGTTTGTTGTTTCTGGATTTCATGTTTATTGTTTCTGGATTTCCTATTTTTCTGTTTCTGGGTTTCATATTTAGTGTACCTAAGTTTCATGTTTATTGTTTCTGGATTTTATGTTTATTGTTTCTGGGTTTCATATTTAGTGTATCTGAGTTTCATGTTTATCAGTTGTATCTGATTTACTTAATCTGGATTTTGTGTTTATCATTTGAGTGTGAAATTCATGTTTCATATTGTTGTCTGTTCACAGGAGAGGCCACACGCTGATGCATTCATGTTTGATATTGTTGTCTGTTCACAGGAGAGGCCACACGGTGATGCATTCATGTTTGATATTGTTGTCTGTTGACAGGAGAGGCCACACGGTGCTGCATTCATGTTTGATATTGTTGTCTGTTCACAGGAGAGGCCACACGGTGCTGCATTCATGTTTGATATTGTTGTCTGTTCACAGGAGAGGCCACACGGTGCTGCATTCATGTTTGATATTGTTGTATGTTCACAGGAGAGGCCACACGGTGCTGCATTCATGTTTGATATTGTTGTCTGTTCACAGGAGAGGCCACACGGTGCTGCATTCATGTTTGATATTGTTGTCTGTTCACAGGAGAGGCCACACGCTGATGCATTCATGTTTGATATTGTTGTCTGTTCACAGGAGAGGCCACACGGTGCTGCAGGTGAATCTTCCACCCAAAGTTGAGCATGTGTTGCTGGTTCGCCTGAGCCCCATTCAGCGCAGAATGTATTGTGAATTTATGAAATCTATTACTGAATCAGGACTCTCCTCTTGGGCTACCAACAACCCTCTGAAGGCATTTGCTGTGGGCTGTAAGGTAAGTGATTGACTGTTCCATTGATTGTCTTGTTTTGTTACTCAGTTATCTTACAGGCATACATGATTGTCTTGTTTTGTTACTCAGTTATCTTACAGGCATACATGATTGTACATGATTGTCTTACATGTTTTGTTACTCAGTTATCTTACAGGCATACATGATTGTCTTGTTTTGTTACTCAGTTATCTTACAGGCATACATGATTGTCTTGTTTTGTTACTCAGTTATCTTACAGGCATACATGATTGTCTTGTTTTGTTACTCAGTTATCTTACAGTACATGATTGTCTTGTTTTGTTACTCAGTTATCTTACAGGCATACATGATTGTCTTGTTTTGTTACTCAGTTATCTTACAGGCATACATGATTGTCTTGTTTTGTTACTCAGTTATCTTACAGGCATACATGATTGTCTTGTTTTGTTACTCAGTTATCTTACAGACATACATGATTGTCTTGTTTTGTTACTCAGTTATCTTACAGACATACATGATTGTCTTGTTTTGTTACTCAGTTACATCTTACAGTTATCTTACAGGCATACATGATTGTCTTGTTTTGTTACTCAGTTACTCAGTTACTCAGTTATCTTACAGACATACATGATTGTCTTGTTTTGTTACTCAGTTATCTTACAGGCATACACATGATTGTCTTGTTTTGTTACTCAGTTATCTTACAGACATACATACATGATTGTCTGTGTTTGTTACTCAGTTCTTACTCAGATTATCTCAGTTATCACAGGCATACATGATTGTCTTGTTTTGTTACTCAGTTATCTTACAGGCATACATGATTGTCTTGTTTTGTTACTCAGTTATCTTACAGACATACATGATTGTCTTGTTTTGTTACTCAGTTATCTTACAGGCATACATGATTGTCTTGTTTTGTTACTCAGTTATCTTACAGGCATACATGATTGTCTTGTTTTGTTACTCAGTTATCTTACAGGCATACATGATTGTCTTGTTTTGTTACTCAGTTATCTTACAGGCATACATGATTGTCTTGTTTTGTTACTCAGTTATCTTACAGGCATACATGATTGTCTTGTTTTGTTACTCAGTTATCTTACAGGCATACATGATTGTCTTGTTTTGTTACTCAGTTATCTTACAGGCATACATGATTGTCTTGTTTTATCTTACAGTTACTCAGTTATCTTACAGTTATCTTACATACATGATTGTCTTGTTTTGTTACTCAGTTATCTTACAGACATACATGATTGTCTTGTTTGTCTCAGTTATCTTACAGGCATACATGATTGTCTTGTTTTGTTACTCAGTTATCAGGCAGGCATACATGATTGTCTTGTTTTGTTACTCAGTTATCTTACAGGTTATCTACATGATTGTCTTGTTTTGTTACTCAGTTATCTTACAGGCATACATGATTGTCTTGTTTTGTTACTCAGTTATCTTACAGGCATACATGATTGTCTTGTTTTGTTACTCAGTTATCTTACAGACATATGATGATTGTTTGTTTCAGTTACTCAGATGATTGTCTTGTTTTGTTACTCAGTTATCTTACAGACATACATGATTGTCTTGTTTTGTTACTCAGTTATCTTACAGGCATACATGATTGTCTTGTTTTACTTACTCAGTTATTGTCTTGTTTTGTTACAGTTATCATAGGCATGATTGTCTTGTTTTGTTACTCAGTTATCTTACAGACATACATGATTGTCTTGTTTTGTTACTCAGTTATCTTACAGACATACATGATTGTCTTGTTTTGTTACTCAGTTATCTTACAGGCATACATGATTGTCTTGTTTTGTTACTCAGTTATCTCAGGCATTATGATTGTCTTGTTTTGTTACTCAGTTATCTTACAGGCATACATACATGATTGTCTGTTTTGTTACTCAGTTATCTTACAGGCATACATGATTGTCTTGTTTTGTTACTCAGTTATCTTACAGGCATACATGATTGTCTTGTTTTGTTACTCAGTTATCTTACAGGCATACATGATTGTCTTGTTTTGTTACTCAGTTATCTTACAGGCATACATGATTGTCTTGTTTTGTTACTCAGTTATCTTACAGGCATACATGATTGTCTTGTTTTGTTACTCAGTTATCTTACAGGCATACATGATTGTCTTGTTTTGTTACTCAGTTATCTTACAGGCATACATGATTGTCTTGTTTTGTTACTCAGTTATCTTACAGGCATACATGATTGTCTTGTTGTTTACTCAGTTATCTCAGGCATACATGATTGTCTTTTTGTTACTCAGTTATCTTACAGACATACATGATTGTCTTGTTTTGTTACTCAGTTATCTTACAGGCATACATGATTGTCTTGTTTTGTTACTCAGTTATCTTACAGGCATACATGATTGTCTTGTTTTGTTACTCAGTTATCTTACAGATACATGATTGTCTTGTTTTGTTACTCAGTTATCTTACAGGCATACATGATTGTCTTGTTTTGTTACTCAGTTATCTTACAGGCATACATGATTGTCTTGTTTTGTTACTCAGTTATCATACAGGCATACATGATTGTCTTGTTTTGTTACTCAGTTATCTTACAGGCATACATGATTGTCTTGTTTTGTTACTCAGTTATCTTACAGGCATACATGATTGTCTTGTTTTGTTACTCAGTTATCTTACAGGCATACATGATTGTCTTGTTTTGTTACTCAGTTATCATACATGATTGTCTTGTTTTGTTACTCAGTTATCTTACAGGCATACATGATTGTCTTGTTTTGTTACTCAGTTATCTTACAGACATACATGATTGTCTTGTTTTGTTACTCAGTTATCTTACAGACATACATGATTGTCTTGTTTTGTTACTCAGTTATCTTACAGACATACATGATTGTCTTGTTTTGTTACTCAGTTATCTTACAGGCATACATGATTGTCTTGTTTTGTTACTCAGTTATCTTACAGGCATACATGATTGTCTTGTTTTGTTACTCAGTTATCTTACAGGCATACATGATTGTCTTGTTTTGTTACTCAGTTATCTTACAGGCATACATGATTGTCTTGTTTTGTTACTCAGTTATCTTACAGGCATACATGATTGTCTTGTTTTGTTACTCAGTTATCTTACAGGCATACATGATTGTCTTGTTTTGTTACTCAGTTATCTTACAGGCATACATGATTGTCTTGTTTTGTTACTCAGTTTATCTTACAGGCATACATGATTGTCTTGTTTTGTTACTCAGTTTCTTTTTGTTACTCAGTTATCTTACAGGCATACATGATTGTCTTGTTTTGTTACTCAGTTATCTTACAGGCATACATGATTGTCTTGTTTTGTTACTCAGTTATCTTACAGTACATGATTGTCTTGTTTTGTTACTCAGTTATCTTACAGACATACATGATTGTCTTGTTTTGTTACTCAGTTATCTTACAGTTTTGTTACTCAGTTATCTTACAGTTACATGATTGTCTTGTTTTGTTACTCAGTTATCTTACAGGCATACATGATTGTCTTGTTTTGTTACTCAGTTATCTTACAGGCATACATGATTGTCTTGTTTTGTTACTCAGTTATCTTACAGGCATACATGATTGTCTTGTTTTGTTACTCAGTTATTTTACAGTGATTGTCTTGTTTTGTTACTCAGTTATCTTACAGGCATACATGATTGTCTTGTTTTGTTACTCAGTTATCTTACAGGCATACATGATTGTCTTGTTTTGTTACTCAGTTATCTTACAGGCATACATGATTGTCTTGTTTTGTTATCTTACTCAGTTTGTCTTACTCAGTTATCTTACAGGCATACATGATTGTCTTGTTTTGTTACTCAGTTATCTTACAGGCATACATGATTGTCTTGTTTTGTTACTCAGTTACTCAGTACATATTGTCTTGTTTGTTACTCAGTTATCTTACAGGCATACATGATTGTCTTGTTTTGTTACTCAGTTATCTTACAGGCATACATGATTGTCTTGTTTTGTTACTCAGTTATCTTACAGGCATACATGATTGTCTTGTTTTGTTACTCAGTTATCTTACAGGCATACATATTGTCTTGTTTTGTTACTGTTATTACAGGCATACATTGTCTTGTTTTGTTACTCAGTTATCTTACAGACATACATGATTGTCTTGTTTTGTTACTCAGTTATCTTACAGGCATACATGATTGTCTTGTTTTGTTACTCAGTTATCTTACAGGCATACATGATTGTCTTGTTTTGTTACTCAGTTATCTTACAGTACATGATTGTCTTGTTTTGTTACTCAGTTATCTTACAGGCATACATGATTGTCTTGTTTTGTTACTCAGTTATCTTACAGGCATACATGATTGTCTTGTTTTGTTACTCAGTTATCTTACAGGCATACATGATTGTCTTGTTTTGTTACTCACAGTTATCTTACAGGTATCTTACAGGCATACATGATTGTCTTGTTTTGTTACTCAGTTATCTTACAGGCATACATGATTGTCTTGTTTTGTTACTCAGTTATCTTACAGGCATACATGATTGTCTTGTTTTGTTACTCAGTTATCTTACAGGCATACATGATTGTCTTGTTTTGTTACTCAGTTATCTTACAGGCATACATGATTGTCTTGTTTTGTTACTCAGTTATCTTACAGGCATACATGATTGTCTTGTTTTGTTACTCAGTTATCTACAGGCATACATGATTGTCTTGTTTTGTTACTCAGTTATCTTACAGGCATACATGATTGTCTTGTTTTGTTACTCAGTTATCTTACAGGCACATACATGATTGTCTTGTTTTGTTACTCAGTTATCTTACAGGCATACATGATTGTCTTGTTTTGTTTTGTTACTCAGTTATCATACAGCATACATGATTGTCTTGTTTTGTTACTCAGTTATCTTACAGGCATACATGATTGTCTTGTTTTGTTACTCAGTTATCTTACAGGCATACATGATTGTCTTGTTTTGTTACTCAGTTATCTTACAGGCATACATGATTGTCTTGTGATTGTCTTGTTTTTGTTACTCAGTTATCTTACAGGCATACATGATTCTTGTTTTGTTTTGTTATCTTACAGGCATACATGATTGTCTTGTTTTGTTACTCAGTTATCTTACAGACATACATGATTGTCTTGTTTTGTTACTCAGTTATCTTACAGGCAGTTGTCTTGTTTTGTTACTCAGTTACACAGGCATACATGATTGTCTTGTTTTGTTACTCAGTTATCTTACAGGCATACATGATTGTCTTGTTTTGTTACTCAGTTATCTTACAGGCATACATGATTGTCTTGTTTTGTTACTCAGTTATCTTACAGGCATACATGATTGTCTTGTTTTGTTACTCAGTTATCTTACAGGCATACATGATTGTCTTGTTTTGTTACTCAGTTATCTACAGGCATACATGATTGTCTTGTTTTGTTACTCAGTTATCTTACAGGCATACATGATTGTCTTGTTTTGTTACTCAGTTATTACAGGCATACATATTGTCTTGTTTTGTTACTCATGATCTGTCTTGTTTTTGTTACTCAGTTATCTTACAGGCATACATGATTGTCTTGTTTTGTTACTCAGTTATCTTACAGGCATACATGATTGTCTTGTTTTGTTACTCAGTTATCTTACAGACATACATGATTGTCTTGTTTTGTTACTCAGTTATCTTACAGGCATACATGATTGTCTTGTTTTGTTACTCAGTTATCTTACAGGCATACATGATTGTCTTGTTTTGTTACTCAGTTATCTTACAGACATACATGATTGTCTTGTTTTGTTACTCATAGTTATCTTACAGGCATACATCTTACAGACATTGTCTGTCTTGTTGTTACTCAGTTATCTTACAGTACATGATTGTCTTGTTTTGTTACTCAGTTATCTTACAGGCATACATGATTGTCTTGTTTTTTTACTCAGTTATCTTACAGGCATACATGATTGTCTTGTTTTGTTACTCAGTTATCTTACAGGCATACATGATTGTCTTGTTTTGTTTTGTTACTTACAGTTATCTTACAGACATACATGATTGTCTTGTTTTGTTACTCAGTTATCTTACAGGCATACATGATTGTCTTGTTTTGTTACTCAGTTATCTTACAGGCATACATGATTGTCTTGTTTTGTTACTCAGTTATCTTACAGACATACATGATTGTCTTGTTTTGTTACTCAGTTATCTTACAGGCATACATGTTACTCAGTTATCTTACAGGCATACATGATTGTCTTGTTTTGTTACTCAGTTATCTTACAGGCATACATGATTGTCTTGTTTTGTTACTCAGTTATCTTACAGACATACATGATTGTCTTGTTTTGTTACTCAGTTATCTTACAGGCATACATGATTGTCTTGTTTTGTTACTCAGTTATCTTACAGGCATACATGATTGTCTTGTTTTGTTACTCAGTTATCTTACAGGCATACATGATTGTCTTGTTTTGTTACTCAGTTATCTTACAGGCATACATGATTGTCTTGTTTTGTTACTCAGTTATCTTAGGCATACATGATTGTCTTGTTTTGTTACTCAGTTATCTTACAGGCATACATGATTGTCTTGTTTTGTTACTCAGTTATCTTACAGGCATACATGATTGTCTTGTTTTGTTACTCAGTTATCTTACAGGCATACATGTTACTCAGTTATCTTACAGACATACATGATTGTCTTGTTTTGTTACTCAGTTATCTTACAGACATACACATGATTGTCTTGTTTTGTTACTCAGTTATCTTACAGACATACATGATTGTCTTGTTTTGTTACTCAGTTATCTTACAGGCATACATGATTGTCTTGTTTTGTTACTCAGTTATCTTACAGGCATACATGATTGTCTTGTTTTGTTACTCAGTTATCTTACAGGCATACATGATTGTCTTGTTTTGTTACTCAGTTATCTTACAGACATACATGATTGTCTTGTTTTGTTACTCAGTTATCTTACAGGCATACATGTTACTCAGTTATCTTACAGACAGTTATCTTTTGTTACAGTTATCTTACAGGCATACATGATTGTCTTGTTTTGTTACTCAGTTATCTTACAGGCATACATGATTGTCTTGTTTTGTTACTCAGTTATCTTACAGGCATACATGATTGTCTTGTTTTGTTACTCAGTTATCTTACAGTACATGATTGTTTTGTTGTTTTCAGTTACTCAGTTATCTTACAGGCATACATGATTGTCTTGTTTTGTTACTCAGTTATCTTACAGGCATACATGATTGTCTTGTTTTGTTACTCAGTTATCTTACAGGCATACATGATTGTCTTGTTTTGTTACTCAGTTATCTTACAGGCATACATGATTGTCTTGTTTTGTTACTCAGTTATCTTACAGGCATACATGATTGTCTTGTTTGTTTACTCAGTTATCTTACAGGCATACATGATTGTCTTGTTTTTACTCAGTTACTCAGTTATCTTACAGGCATACATGATTGTCTTGTTTTGTTACTCAGTTATCTTACAGGCATATTGTCTGTTTTGTCTTGTTTTGTTACTCAGTTATCTACTCAGTACAGGCATACATGATTGTCTTGTTTTGTTACTCAGTTATCTTACAGGCATACATGATTGTCTTGTTTTGTTACTCAGTTATCTTACAGGCATACATGATTGTCTTGTTTTGTTACTCAGTTATCTTACAGATTGTCACTCAGTTACATGATTGTCTTGTTTTGTTACTCAGTTATCTTACAGGCATACATGATTGTCTTGTTTTGTTACTCAGTTATTACAGGCATACATGATTGTCTTGTTTTGTTACTCATTACATGATTGTCTTGTTTTGTTACTCAGTTATCTTACAGACATACATGATTGTCTTGTTTTGTTACTCAGTTATCTTACAGGCATACATGATTGTCTTGTTTTGTTACTCAGTTATCTTACAGATTGTCTTACAGACATACATGATTGTCTTGTTTTGTTACTCAGTTATCTTACAGACATACATGATTGTCTTGTTTTGTTACTCAGTTATCTTACAGGCATACATGATTGTCTTGTTTTGTTACTCAGTTATCTTACAGGCATACATGATTGTCTTGTTTTGTTACTCAGTTATCTTACAGGCATACATGATTGTCTTGTTTTGTTACTCAGTTATCTTACAGGCATACATGATTGTCTTGTTTTGTTACTCAGTTATCTTACAGGCATACATGATTGTCTTGTTTTGTTACTCAGTTATCTTACAGGCATACATGATTGTCTTGTTTTGTTACTCAGTTATCTTACAGGCATACATGATTGTCTTGTTTTGTTACTCAGTTATCTTACAGGCATACATGATTGTCTTGTTTTGTTACTCAGTTATTTACAGTTATCTTACAGGCATACATGATTGTCTTGTTTTGTTACTCAGTTTCTTACATGATTGTCTTGTTTTGTTACTCAGTTACATGATTGTCTTGTTTTGTTACAGTTATCTTACAGGCATACATGATTGTCTTGTTTTGTTACTCAGTTATCTTACAGACATACATGATGAAAGCTAGAGGTTGCCCAAGTAGAAGATGGATTGATGACTTTGAAGACATTCCACATCAAGCAGTGGCTAGCACACTGTTATTCCCAACGATTCTTAAAGGCAAAATGGGAAATTGATGATGATTATGAATGTTGGGTACTGTCCGTAGACATAAAAATCAAAAAGATATCTTCAAAGAAATTAACTTACAAGGATAAATGATTACCCATCTCAGATGTCTTGAGGTAATTTAATATTTAAACTTTGCTAGGCTGAAGAGAAATGAAAGAATGTAGACCTAATGTTTTCTTTTGCCTATAGTTGACAGACAACTCCCGCTTCATTCCTTGATCTGCAGATTATGATGATGATGAATTTATGTCCAACAGGCTGAACCTCAAATGAAAGGCTATGTTGGTGGCATTCTAGAAAATAGTGGCAAATTTATGCTGATGAATTCCCTAGTGGAAGAATGTTTGGCCCTCGGTGACAAAGTCCTTATTTTCAGGTAACTGTTTTGTTTCAGTTTTGTAAGGTTTTATTGAGCCTGAATCATTCACAGATTCAGAGAACAGTTTGTTATGTGTATAATCCATACAGGATTGTCATGTCAGTTTATTTAACTTCTTCTTCTCTTCCACCTTGTACCTCACAAAGTGTTGGGTGGAGGTGTAATGTTCGTTGATGAGCTCTGTCAAGAGCACTATTAAGGCTGATGTTCATTTCTGTAAGGCAGTTCTTAATGCCATCACTTCATATTTTCCGAGGTCTTCCACTCGCTCTATATTCGTTGTTTTAGTGTGGCTCGCTGTGGCAGATAGTACCAGGGCATTCTTGGTAGGTGTCCAAACCACTTCATTCGTTGTTCTTTTTTATTTAATCAGAGAAGTAAAATAAAGTTTATGAACATGTCACTGCTCGCTCTGCTGCAGATGTGTAATGTGCGGATAGGCTGACTTTTGGAAAGGTACTGTAGTAGTTTCCTCTTCCTGTCCACATTTGTGGTTTGTTAATATGTATGTTGTTGTCCTCATGTCAGATGCAATTTTTAGTTATTTTGAAGCCCCACCCTGGCTTTTGCCGAGAGCCCTATAGCCGGGCTTTAAATATTTCCTACAGCTGAACGGGGTTTCCAGGACGTCTCCACTGGCGCGTGATGTCCTGGTGGGGTAAAACTTACCTACCTACCTATTTGGGGTTTGTTACCTCCACCTTTGAAAATGATTTCTTGTTGTCAGGACTGGCTCCCTTCACATTCAGTTTCCAACCTTTTTTTCCTGTTTGTCCCCTAAACAATTTGGCACACCCCATGATTGTCCATCCCCCACCGCAGGGAGGTGCAGCTGGAAGTTTGTTCATCAAGTCCACACCATAGTGGCATTGCTCATGAAGTACATACACCATTTTATGTCAGTAATAAAAGACTTCTTGAGGCTAGACTTATATTTGCATAGACAACATCACCTGTCATGCCATCTGCCTTTACTGCCCAGCACATTTGCTGGCACCCATTTTAAGCTGCGGCAATCTAGGAGCCAAAGTCATACTTTTTTCAAATCTGCATTGAGTGGATTTGAACCAAAGTCTTTCTAGCTGATAGGCAAACCTTTGGCCACTAAACTGCCATTGCTTTCCATACATCATTACTGGTATATTAATGAATGTAGTCATTATAGTACATAATGCTTAAAAAGAACTGTTTAAACATTTCATTTTGTTATTCTATCTGTATTTATTCAAGAGTGAATCTGATCAGTGTGTACTGTATCTCTTCATAGTTTCTTATTGCTGGCCCATGTCCTGATTCCTTGATACCATGTACATACCCTATGATCCCATGTTCAGATCCCATGATCCCATGTACAGATCCCTTGATCCCATGTACAGATCCCTTGATTCCATGTACAGATCCCTTGATCCAATGTATAGATCCCTTGATCCCATGTACAGATCCCTTGATCCAATGTATAGATCCCTTGATCCCATGTACAGATCCCTTGATCCCATGGATCAGTTGGATGACCTGTAAATATTTGTCCAGTAAATATTGTGTGTTTTTTTCTGCCCATATTTTTCTGGAAAACAAACTGAATATATTGTGGACATGAGAAATGGATGCAGGCATTAATAGAACACATGTTGACCAAACCTGAAAAAAGAATGGCTAGAATGTACTTGTGCTGGAAACCACAAGTCAAAAAAGATCGAGTGAGATTAGAATCACATGGAGAAAACACTGCCTCAGTGTCTAGCACATTTGCCTGGGAGTGTACAGATCCCTAACTGCCTCATGTGGGTTCCAGGGACATATTTGGGGGGGGGTGATAGAATCTTGCCCTCCTGAAAAGGATGCCATAAAAGGTGACTGATTCAGGTTTTGGCTGAAATCAGATGTGTTGGGCCAAAAAAGGTGCAGATATTGCAGCTGACTATAAACTACAACACAACGTGCCAAGAGCGAATGCAGAAGAAGGCCTGGAAATTTCCCAACAGCCAAGTGGTTATCAGAAACTGACCAGTGCTTCTATGTCAGCTAACCTGAAATGGGTGCCGGGTAGTGTGCCGTTAACCACCTCATCTAGCTAACCTGAAATGGGTGCCGGGTAGTGTGCCGTTAACCACCTCATCTAGCTAACCTGAAATGGGTGCCGGGTAGTGTGCCATTAACCACCTCATGCAGCAAGTGGATCTATACAGTTGTGGAACTAACATCGTATACCCGGGACACACCAGTCCATGGACAGTATCCGTTTAACTTACCTCATTTACTGTAAGAAGATAGAAGATATTGTTACTTCTTCTCCGTTAAGCCTTGAAAGCGTAGTCTGCACATTGTGGCTGAGATATCTGCACCTGTTAGCCAAAACATTTGTCTGATTTCAGCAGGTCTTTAACTAATCACCTTTTGCAACATGCTTGATAGGGGGGCAGTGGATCTTTTCTTTTTCTCCCGCCAAAACAAATTGGGCCGGGAAACCCACATGGGAAAGATTGTTACAGTTCAGATAACTGATGCAAACCTGAACATCTTTCTCCAGTCAGAGCCTGTTGACCCTCAACAAAATGGAAGAATTTATGTGCAAGATGAAAGTGCCTAGAACAGACATAAACGAGTGTTGGCAACGCAACAAAACATATTTCCGTGAGTAAAAGTTCATCCTTAAGTTAGCGTACTGAATGTGACTAGTGCTGTGTTGAGGGTTGATTATTGTTTTGTTTCATAGATAAGTTTACAGTGGATGTTGAGTAGAGAGTGTGATGTAGTATAGTTTACACCAGATGTTGATTGGAGAATGTGATAGAGTTTACACTAGATAGGGAGATGAGAGTTTGATAATGATAGTTTACAGATATGGAAATAATCTGATGGAGTTGATTTTAAGTCTACAGTGGGTATTGCAGTAGATAATATGATAGTCTACAGTAGATGTTGAAAAAGTCTGGATAACTTACATAGACAAAAATTACTGTGGTAATCATCTTAATATATACACTGAAAATGGTACTGTGTGGCTATGTAACTTGAGGTTAGCAGGGGTGTTTCAAACTCTTCGAGCACCAGAATTTGATTTTCCTGGCGGAAGTTTTAGAAAAATGTCTTTCTCATTTCTGTTGGACAGTGGCATGAGAATTGTGTCCTGGGAGAGATATGAGGCCTTACCATTTAGTATTTCCATAGGTAGGAGCAGCTGGAATATTCCTTGCAGCAGCCTTCTTTTGGGGAGATGACGTCCCTCAAATGGCACTAACAAATTGTACATTGTCTGCTTAACCCTTTCACCTTGAGAACCTGAAAAACGGACACCTGCTGTTGTGTCCAGTTCCTGGTAAATGTCACTGTTCTGACTTGCCTATCATGACCTGTTTCTGAGATGTATAATTAACCCAATTTGGCTGAGTTCATGCCTGAACAAACATTCAGCAGGTCAGAATATGAACAAATTAATCAATAGTAGCAAATTTTTAAAAGTCAAGATGACGCCAGATTTTCTTATAGGCCTCAGTGGTAAAGATCGCAGGGGTCGCAGTATGAGTCACCTAATACATGTGTTTTTTTTTGGGGGTGGTGGTGTATTAAATGTAATGCTTCAGCCCACACCTGTTTACTGATTACTCCCTTAATTTGTCTTCATATATCTTGAATAAATAACTTTAAAATGTCAATAAATATGTTTGTTAAAAATGTACCAGTGACCAGTAAAGAACAAATTTTGTTGTTACAGATTTTCAGGAATCCTAACGGAGTCGTGACCTTTTTTTTTTATTTTAACATTTGTGGGTGAAAGGGTTTACTTTTCTTATTTTTCTTCATCCAATTGACCAGCTTTAAACTCCACAACGGAATGATGTGGTTATTCATCCACCTCTGGACTTTAGTCTTCTTCCAAAACCTGAAAGTTGCATGTACGTGTATTTTTCAGATTTAGCTTATTTTTATGCAGACTATTGGTTCCTTGCCTTTCAGGCAGATGCATTCCGACTCTGAAGGACGCCCCTAGTTAGTCGACTCTTGCGACATACTTGGGCAGGCAGTTGGTCTATTCTTGTTTTCCCCACGATGTGGCCTCAAACCCACCTAGGGGAAAGGGTTAAATCAAGATAACAGTTTATGAATTTTGATGAAAGTTATATTATCAGAATACTCATTTTCTGTGTTTGATTGGAAATATAATTGTCTGTGTTTGAATTGAAATTTCGTTATCAAAACTTCCACTGTCTGTTTTATTCATTAGTATCTTTTTGTGCCATTGATTAGTCATGTTAGGCTCACATTGATTCCTTCTTTCTGATCTATTCTGTGCATTCTTTTTGATGTCATGTATGAAATTCACTTCAGCACCTCTGGTCTCTCTCATCAACGTTTCTCATAGTGTTTTTCTTGGACATTCTTCCTTCCTCAGACCACTTATTTCCTTTTACAGTGCCTGTTTGGTGATTTCCTGTCTGATTCTTCCCAGGATGTGACCAGTATACTGCAGTTTTTTCTTTCAGCTGGTCATACCAGCAGTTGTTAAGAAATGTCTCTATTTTTTTCAAATATATATGTATATAAATTAATCAGTTGGAGGCATTTGTTTCACGGATAAATATTACAATTGTTTATGTTTGATTGGACATTATCAAACCACCCATGGCCTTTGATTTCAGGCTTGGATGGCAGCACATCAGCACAGGATAGGGAGAAGATGATCAACCACTTCAATGATCCAGAAAGCAAAGTTTGGGCATTCTTGTTGTCTACCAAGTAATGTACCTTATTTGTTGTGTAAATTTTTTTTGCTTGCAACTTGAAGTTTGAAAACAAAAACATGTCAGTAGTATAGTTTGATTAAACAGTTTTTGCCTTAGAAAGCAACAATAAGCAATCTAGATTTTTAAAAGGGACCAAAACCCGCAGATAATGTACAACAATCATCAGAGAGAAGCAGTCAATCATTTGTTGCCAAATAATAAATATAAAACTGAAATATGTGACAGATGGAAAGAGAGTAAGAGGTAGATGATCATAAACTTTGCTGTTTGATTCTGTTTTACATTTATTAAGATTATAACCAGTGTTGTATGATTCTGTTTTACTCTTACTGGTATCATAATCAGTGTGGTTTGATTCTGTTTTACACTAACTGAGATCATAATCATTGTTGTATGATTCTGTTTTACACTTACTGCGATCATAATCCGTGTGGTTTGATTCTGTTTTACACTTACTGAGATCATAATCATTGTTGTATGATTCTGTTTTACACTTACTGAGATCATAATCATTGTTGGTGATGATTCTGTTTTACACTTTCTTGGATCATAATCATTGTTGTATGATTCTGTTTTACACTTTCTTGGATCATAATCATTGTTGTATGATTCTGTTTTACACTTACTGCGATCATAATCATTGTTGTTTGATTCTGTTTTACACTTACTGGGATCATAATCATTGTTGTATGATTCTGTTTTACACTTACTGCGATCATAATCATTGTTGTTTGATTCTGTTTTACACTTACTGGGATCATAATCATTGTTGTTTGATTCTGTTTTACACTTACTGGGATCATAATCATTGTTGTTTGATTCTGTTTTACTCTTATTTGGATCATATTCAGTGTTGTGTGATTCTGTTTTACACTTATTTGGATCATAATCAGTGTGTGATTGTGTTTTACAATTATTGGGGGGTCCTCTCAGTCCCGTTTTTAAAAATTCAATCTTTGAGCTGTGTTCAATAAATTCTGCCAGCTTCACATTTTCCTGGTGTACACACTTCAGCAGAAATGATTCTCTATTGTTTTATTTATGACTGTATAAATTGACCCATTGTCAAGGGCAAGAGGTAGATCAAGAATGACCTAAATACACAATTTGGCAGAATGGTTAGCTCTCAAATCCATTGCTTGCAGCCAGCAGAGGTGGAGGGAACTGACTGGGCAGTCAACAACAACTGGTGACCCAACAAGGTGCTGTGCTGTAATGTGCTGATTGGTCCTAGACCAATCATAGGAGTCAGAACCATAGGCCAGATATGCTGACCTAACCTAAAATTAGTACCCCAAAAATGTTCCAGGGAGTTTGTCCTATTCTGAATAACCTATAGCTTTAGGGCTCCCACTCTCTACATAAAAATGATGGAAAATGGTTGACTATTGTCACTAATCTCCGCCGTTGCCAGTCCCAAGCCATGTATGAGGAAAGAGGAGGGTTGGGCATAGGGCCAGCTCCCTCATCCTATAATGACAGATTTTGCTGCAGGAGAACATGGATGAGAGGACTGGATTCCATCCATGCTATTCTAGTGATTGCACAGTATAGACAGGAAGGGAGAAATGCACTGCGAGCCCTGTGTGACATGTAGTGGCACAGCAGGGCAAGGAATGAATGCATTGTTACTGTCTCAGAAAGAATCCTTCGTTGTTTCTGTATGTATTGCTTGAGATATAGACCCACTGCCTATCCAAAATCATGTCGTAAGGGTCGACTAATTCGGAGCTTACTTCAAAGTCGGAGTGCAGATCTGTAAAACTGATGCACACGCAACACTCAGGTTCTGGAACAGGACTGCAGTCCAGAAGTGGATGAACAACCAGAACTTTCCGCTAGAGTTTACAGCTGGTGAACGCGAAGAATAAGAAGCTTGAGATATGCAATTTCATTGTTTTCTTTGTTAATTATGAGAAAAAGATGTTACTATTGTACATTTTTTTCTTCATGTAGGACTAGACCTATATTTTATAGACCAATCGGCACTTGGTGGGTGATGTTGTCAACTACATGCCAGCCACCTTTACTTCCCAGAACTTTACCTGGTACCCACTCAAGGGGGAAGTTTATCTTTGAGCCAGGATATTTTCTGAAAAAACTCAAGCTCCATTTATATCTGAACCCCCGACCTTCAGTTCCGCAGGCAAGCATCTGGCCGCTACAGCACAGGAGCTCCTACCAGTGCATTTTTTTCTGCACACATTTTTACTGTTGAATTTGTTTGTTTTTAGTTGTTATTTATGAAAAGATGATGCTGTGTTTTTCTTCATGTCAAAATGTTTATTATTGCATTTATTTGTTTAGAATATAAACATTTTATTTAGATGCTGCCTTGATTATTGTGATAGTTATAAACTGAGTCAAGAGTAACCTGAGTGTTTGTCTTGTTGTAGAGCGGGTTGTCTGGGCATCAACCTGGTTGCTGCTAATCGAGTCATCGTTGTGGATGCATCTTGGAACCCCTGTCATGATTGTCAGGCCATCTGTCGTGTCTATCGCTTTGGCCAGGTGAAGAAATCGTACGTGTACCGGTTCATCACAGACAACACTTTGGAGAAAAGGATTTATGATCGGCAGATCAGCAAGCAAGGAATGTCAGGTAGAGAATTGTGCAGCGTTGTTTCACTTAACCTCTGCTGTGACAAATTTTATTATTTTTTCTTCTTCTTTTTCTTTTTCTGCATTTGCACTTAAAAATGTGGTTGGTACATTGTGTTGTGGTTTACAGCTAGACTACAATGTCTACTCCTTTTGGCTCAACATATCTGATTTTAGCAAATCCTTCATTAGTTGCTTTTTACTGCATGCTTGTTAAGGAACTGTAAGTTTTTTTTTTTCCCCGCCTACAATCGAGTCCCTAGAATCCTCTTGCACCTAGTGGCTGTTTTAAACATCTACATCACCAGCAAATTATTTTCATGTGACAAACATTTGGATTTAAACCTTAAAATAATGAACTGTGGGACCCACACACATACAGAAGTTAAATGAATCAATCTTATGAAGTAGGTTAAAGTAACAACTGGATGTGATGGAGGAAGTAGGAATGAACAAAGTTTATTCTCAAATTTTTAAACAGTTAAGAACTAGACACACAAGCCCATCTGACATTCTGCCCTTCTAATCTCTCTCATTTCATTCATATGTCTGTTAACAAGTAATAGTCAACATTAACACCAGCAGCTAAATGTTGTTGTTATCAATCTAGCGGCGCATGAGCTTTCGCCATTTGACTTAATGCCATGTAGTGGAATTTGCATGTTTTTACACTCTGTTCTTTACCACCTTGCAAGGTGTTCCACTTGTCTAGCTAAATATTAAATACAAGCACTAGAATGGGCTTGAATTACACTTACATTTCTAGTCACTGTAAACCATAGTAATTGTTATAAATCTAGGGTAAATGCACGCTGTTGTATAAGGAGGGTTTGATTTCCAACTTGATCTTTTAGCTTGTAAGTGCAGATGTTTTCTCTGGGAGTAGTGGCTTTATCTGCATAGTTCCTGCAATCCTCTTTTGAAAGAGACCAGGCCATACAGAGTGAGACATGTTGCAATAGACTCTGTCCTCTTGTCGTTCTTTTCTTTTAAGTTGAGAATAATAAATAAATGCTTTATTGTTTGATTAAAAAAATGGTGTCGGCTGCAGATGTTAGAAGGTTTCTTGCATATCTTACATCACCAAACATCATTATCCTGAAACCCAGGCCTTACAAAGCCAAACAGAAAACTGCTGATAGAGAAGTTTGGCTAAAAATGAACCAGACATAAACAAACAGCAGTCTGATTCAAAATGTCAGTGTTCTCATCCAGTCAGGGATCAGTGCTTATTATTCTGTCATATCCATTTCTTTGTCTTCCCTTTCTTCTTCCTCTCTCTTTACTTCCTGTATTCCCTACCACCCATATTTCTTCTTCTCTCCCACTGAAGAGTTATTTAATTCAGTAATATCATGAAAAGATATAAGACTGAACAAAAAGTAGATCAGCGAGTGTTACAATATAATAAACAAAACGTGAACGTTAAAGCTATAGAGCCTTCATCAGCACATACGTAAACAAAACCACATGAATACAAAAACAATTTAATTCAGTAAATGGTAATAATGTCATAAAAATAAATTTCATATTTTGTTTCTGTAATTATATATTGGACAAAACAACTTATATTCTCTCTTCTGTTTCTTAGATCGCATTGTGGATGACATGAACCCAGAAAACAAACTCACACGCAGGCAAGTGGAGAACTTGTTGGATTTTGAGGTACATAAGTTTATTCTTAGTCCTTTTTGTTGTTGCTGTTGTTGTCAGTGTCCGCTTTCATTAGATGTTGTAGTTTAACAGTTAATTAGGTAGCTGAGTTAAGGCATGCTGATTTGCTTGGTATAATGTGATGTTGTGAAGTCTTTGGTTGTGGTTAAGGCATGCTGACTTGCTTGGTATACTGTGATGTTGTGAAGTCTTTGGTTGTGGTTAAGGCATGCTGACTTGCTTGGTATACTGTGATGTTGTGAAGTCTTTGGTTGTGGTTAAGGCATGCTGACTTGCTTGGTATACTGTGATGTTGTGAAGTCTTTGGTTGTGGTTAAGGCATGCTGACTTGCTTGGTATAATGTGATGTTGTGAAGTCTTTGGTTGTGGTTAGGGCATGCTGATTTGCTTGGTATACTGTGATGTTGTGAAGTCTTTGGTTGTGGTTAAGGCATGCTGACTTGCTTGGTATACTGTGATGTTGTGAAGTCTTCGGTTGTGGTTAGGGCATGCTGATTTGCTTGGTATACTGTGATGTTGTGAAGTCTTCGGTTGTGGTTAGGGCAAGCTGATTTGCTTGGTATACTGTGATGTTGCAAAGTCTTCAGTTGTGGTTAGTGCATGCTGACTTGCTTGGTATAATGTGATGTTGTGAAGTCTTCAGTTGTGGTTAGGGCATGCTGATTTGCTTGGTATACTGTGATGTTGTGAAGTCTTGGGTTGTGGTTAGGGCATGCTGACTTGCTTGGTATAATGTGATGTTGTGAAGTCTTCAGTTGTGGTTAGGGCATGCTGACCTGCTTGGTATAATGTGATGTTGTGAAGTCTTCAGTTGTGGTTAGGGTATGTTGATTTGCTTGGTATACTGTGATGTTGTGAAGTCTTCGGTTGTGGTTAGGGCATGCTGATTTGCTTGGTATACTGTGATGTTGCAAAGTCTTCAGTTGTGGTTAGTGCATGCTGATTTGCTTGCTATACTGTGATGTTGTGAAGTCTTGGGTTGTGGTTAGGGCATGCTGACTTGCTTGCTATACTGTGATGTTGTGAAGTCTTGGGTTGTGGTTAGGGCATGCTGATTTGCTTGGTATACTGTGATGTTGCGAAGTCTTCGGTTGTCAGGACGCCTTTGATCCATCTTTTTCTAGGTTTCTATCTGCAGCTTGAGTTTCTGTTTTCATGTTGTACACTCTCGCTGCCAGAGTCTTCCAATTTATTCCTAATAGATGGCCATGCCATTTACATTTTCTCTACATTTATGAATGTGTATTGTTTCAATAGTTCTTTACAAATGTGTACGTAAAAGAAGTTCTGTGATAAGACCAAAGTCCAGAATTGGCTGACAAAAATCAGAGCATTTCTCTGGAGCTTACAGCCAGTAAACACTTATAAGAAGAAGGAGAATAATTCTTCTGGTGTCTTTAGTTCTCGTTCAGTCTCTTCTGGCTTAGTTCCCTGCCTTTCTCAAACATCTAATTTCACATGTGGTTAAATATTTATCTGACGATATACAGTCGAGTCTTGATAAGTAGAAGTGACAGAAACCTAAGAAAATGCTTCCACTTACCAAGACTTCTCCTGATCCAGACAGCAGACACACACAACAGGGAATGTACACTAAAACCAAGTGGTATCATTGAGTAAAGCAATTATACCAGTTTGGCAGCATCATCAATTGACAAAAAAATAGCAACACAATATCAGAAATGTTGAAATATTAAATTTTTTTTTAGAAAATATAACATTAAAACTTTATGAAAATTCAGACATTAAATAAAGAAAAAGTATATGGTTTTGCTCTGCTTTTTGGATTGTGAGAAATGTCTTTCAGGGGCATGTGTAAATGCAACAAATGGTGAGATTACATCATCTGCATCATTTAAATGTTCATGTTGTCCATGCATGCCAAAACATCTGACTGATACAGGTTGTGATTGCAGCCTGCAGTCATCTTCATCAGAGTCCGGGCTCAAATGGTCTGTTGGTTGGTGTACATACTTTTACTTTTACTTTTTACTTTTTCCTTCCACGTATGCCGCTAAGCGTTGTGGGGAGATGCAAGTTCCTGTCATAAGCAAGGCGGGCAGCATCTGATGTTCTGAGTCCATGCTTTTGGCAGGTTTCGGAGACCCCGTCAATCCACCGTTTCCTTGGTCTTCCTCTTGCCTTATATCCTGAGCTTCTTTGGTTGAAAATTTGTGATGTTATTTGATCATTTTTCATCCTGGTTAGATGTCCAAACCATTTCATTCTTTGATGTTCTATGTAGTCTAAACATGGCGTAGTTTTGACAGTGTTTCTAATGTCTATATTCTTTATCCTGTCTAGTCTGGTCTTATTCGCTGCTTTTCTTAGACATTTCATTTCACAGGCTTCTATTTTTCTTTCATGGGTCTTGTTGGTGTACATAGCCTTAGAATATCACTGCTTGAAAGAGTGGCACTGGTAAAAACATCATTATCAATATTCACATACTCCTCTGGATCAGTGTTCAGCTCTTGATACAACCTAGCAAGTAATGGCTCCACTAAAATATCAGTAACATTACTCTCATTGCTTGTTGACGGTGCATAATTCTCATTGACTGGAACACCTAATGCAGGTAAGAAGCCAGCTTGTCTGAAGCAGTTTGCAATAGTTGCAGGCAAAACTGTGTCCAATAAAGATTTTCGAATTATGACAGCATCAAGAAGAGTTATTTTGAAATCATAACTGAGGTCAGCATCCATATGAGCCACAAGTTTTAACAACATTGTAGATCTATAATGGACTTTAAAGTTTTGAATGATACCTGGATCACAAGTGTTGATGTGGCATTAGGCGGCAGAAACAAAAGTTCTGGTGCTCTCAGATTGTCAGTTCTTCTGTGAGCTGAACAATTATCAACGATTAACAGAACGTTTCTTTTCTTACAAATCATTGAAGAATCAAATTCTTGTAGCCACTTAGTGAACAATTCTGATGTCATCCATGCCTTTGAGTTAGCTCTGTGATTAACACATAATTTGTCGATGAGGGACCCACCTACTGATGAACCTTAGCTCCTGCTGTGGAGTTCTTCTTATAATTGTCTACTTTCAGGTATTCTTTTTTTTTCTTGTCCTAGTTGTGGAATGTTTGTGTTGGCACTTCTGATGGCTGCATTTAATGTGTGTGTATGCTAATGGATTGGTTTTGCAGAGATTGCAGTCTGTTTCAGCTTTCTTACAAGGTCAGTGATGGTTTTCGGTGGCACAGGAATTGAGCATCAGTGAGACTAAATCAAAAGAGATTTTGTTTTTTCTTTTTCTTTTCCAAATTGTCTTCGGCTCCCAGGTTGACCCTGCCTGAAATGGCTACCAGGCAATTTCCTGTGAAGTAAAAGTGGCCATCATGACATTGACCACATCACTCACATTGTTACATCACTCACTTGGTTACATCACTCACATGGTTACATCACTCACTTGGTGACATCACTCACTTGGTGCTGATTGGGTGACATCACTCACTTGGTGACATCACTCACTTGGTGCTGATTGGGTGACATCACTCACTTGGTGCTGATTGGGTGACATCACTCACTTGGTGCTGATTGGGTGACATCACTCACTTGGTGACATCACTCACTTGGTGCTGATTGGGTGACATCACTCACTTGGTGACATCACTCACTTGGTGCTGATTGGGTGACATTACTCACTTGGTGCTGATTGGGTGACATCACTCACTTGGTGCTGATTGGGTGACATCACTCACTTGATGCTGATTGGGTGGCATCACTCACTTGGTGACATCACTCACTTGGTGCTGATTGGGTGACATTACTCACTTGGTGCTGATTGGGTGACATCACTCACTTGGTGCTGATTGGGTGACATCACTCACTTGGTGCTGATTGGGGGACATCACTCACTTGGTGCTGATTGGGTGACATCACTCACTTGGTGCTGATTGGGTGACATCACTCACTTGGTGCTGATTGGGTGACATTACTCACTTGATGCTGATTGGGTGACATCACTCACTTGATGCTGATTGGGTGACATCACTCACTTGATGCTGATTGGGTGACATCACTCACTTGATGCTGATTGTTCTGTAAAAATAAGAAGCCGGAATGATCTTTCTAATAAGCCATGATCTAAAATAGCGCCTTTACTTGTCTGCAATTTCCATAAGTCCATTGTAGTTAACAAAACATGAATTTGGTTTCTCAAGGATGAAGAGTTCCCTATGCTGGATTTTTCAAATGCTGCAAGCAAATACGGCCACGATTCTGTTATGCTGAATGTCTTGAAAAAGCATGGACAGTGGTTGACTAAGGTATGTTGACACATGACCTTTGTTCTCTTTGTTTATTGCTAATATAGAATACTAGTGTATGTTTGCCAGTCTAGTGGGCTTCATTTACCATGCTGTGTGAGACTGTGATTAATGTTATTTGAAGTTTTGTCAATGAGAATATCTTGAGGGCTTCACTTACCATGCTGTGTAAGACTGTGATTAATGTTATTTGAAGTTTTGTCAATGAGAATATCTTGAGGGCTTCACTTACCATGCTGTGTAAGACTGTGAATAGTGTTATTTGAAGTTTTGTCAATGAGAATATCTTGAGGGCTTCACTTACCATGCTGTGTAAGACTGTGAATAGTGTTATTTGAAGTTTTGTCAATGAGAATATCTTGAGGGCTTCACTTACCATGCTGTGTAAGACTGTGAATAATGTTATTTGAAGTTTTGTCAATGAGAATATCTTGAGGGCTTCACTTACCATGCTGTGTGAGACTGTGAATAATGTTATTTGAAGTTTTGTCAATGAGAATATCTTGAGGGCTTCACTTACCATGCTGTGTAAGACTGTGAATAGTGTTATTTGAAGTTTTGTCAATGAGAATATCTTGAGGGCTTCACTTACCATGCTGTGTAGACTGTGAATAGTGTTATTTGAAGTTTTGTCAATGAGAATATCTTGAGGGCTTCACTTACCATGCTGTGTAAGACTGTGAATAGTGTTATTTGAAGTTTTGTCAATGAGAATATCTTGAGGGCTTCACTTACCATGCTGTGTAAGACTGTGAATAGTGTTATTTGAAGTTTTGTCAATGAGAATATCTTGAGGGCTTCACTTACCATGCTGTGTAAGACTGTGAATAGTGTTATTTGAAGTTTTGTCAATGAGAATATCTTGAGGGCTTCACTTACCATGCTGTGTAAGACTGTGAATAGTGTTATTTGAAGTTTTGTCAATGAGAATATCTGGAGGGCTTCACTTACCATGCTGTGTAAGACTGTGAATAATGTTATTTGAAGTTTTGTCAATGAGAATATCTTGAGGGCTTCACTTACCATGCTGTGTAAGACTGTGAATAATGTTATTTGAAGTTTTGTCAATGAGGATATCTTGAGGGCTTCATTTACCATGCTGTGTGAGACTGTGATTAATGTTATTTGAAGTTTTGTCAATGAGAATATCTTGAACAGTCTAATCCCTGTGTGGGTTTTACAACCCCGTTTTGAGAGAGAGAGAAGGGGGGTGGGGGTGGGTGTTGGGGGAAAGAATAAACTCACTGTCCGTTAACATGCATGTGGTAGAACGTGACTAAGGTTTGCTAAAATCAGGTGTATTGGGCGGTTAGTTGCAGATATTGCAGCCTAGCTGTAAACTGCAACACAGCATACAGCCCTTTTAACGGTAGATGCAGAAGAAGAACAATATACACATTTTTGGTCAAAATAGGTGGTTACAAAATATGTTCTTAACTAAGGGGCATTGTGCTTCACATAAGCTGCATTGAATGTACAATTTTCAGTGACCTTTTTAATGCAGAGATAAATACTTGGATGGTTAGGGCAAGATAGAGGCACTGACCTGCTAATTGCTTCTGGTGATTGTGTGGGATGGCTAAATATGATAGCCTACTTATCAGCATGGCACATGATGATGGTTGATGGCTTGTAAACTTAACGTCCTTTATTTTGTTCTTGTGTAAGTGTAATTTTGTTAAGCTGGCCTAAATTTGATAGTATAAACTCTTAGAGTCCCAGAAAGTCCTAGCTAATAGCCAAGAGGGCAAGAATGGCAAGACTAAACTCATGGTTATACTATATGCACAGGGCCAGATACCCAAACACTAAAGGAAACACACATTTTTTTTTTTAAAGAATCGTTCACTAAACCTAAAATATAAAACTTGGATAACTCACTGAGTGGTACACATCTTCCAGCCACACGAGGTGTGTTACTTGGGACACAGTGAGTTAAGTTATTAAACCACATATTTCTTCTGTTGATGCTCTTTGACCCCAGTGAAGCATAGACTGTCAGCTGTTACAAGCCAGATACTGTTGTCTTTTACTATCTCTTGCAATTCCTTCTGTGCATTTCACATATAAACATTATCTGTCTGTAGATGTCTTTGTGTGTCCTGAATTTTGTTTTGCCATGTTGACTCCAGAGGAAGTATTTTCTTTGTTCTTACTTTTAGTTGCATATCATAGTGTCTGCCCTACCCAGGGTTAGCGGACGTTTTCTCTTCTTTCATTCATTAAAATATATCAGTTCACTTGACTTACGTTTCTGTGAACTATGAATGAAGTTTTCAAATGTTAAAACACCATGAATTTGCTAATATTTACTGTAGCACCCCTTCACGCATGAATCCCTGCTGATTGACCGGAAGGAGCTGAGACTTTCTAAAAGAGAGAAAAGACTTGCCAAGGAAGGCTACGCTAGGGACAAACGAATGAAGTTAACGAATATACGGCCTCCGGCTGCAGCTTTCTTCCCTCCACAGATGGGGGGTATTCCATACAGAATGCCTTACAACAACAGATACAAGTAAGTATGTGTGTGTGTGTTTCTCACCTTCGTTTCCCATGTCCGGAGGTGAGTCATTTGCCTGCTCATTTATCAGGTGTCAGTAGTCTTGGGGAATTCAGTCACTGAACCTCTGCCTCCTCATTTATCAGGTGTCAGTAGTCTCAGTGAATTCAGTCACTGAACCTCATATGAGAATGGATTTACCAGAGGAATCAAAATGTCTCCTGATTCTTAGTGGATATTGCAGAATCCACATGTCTAGTATGAGTGGATAGCTAGCATCAGCTAGGTCTAACTTGACAAGGACTCATGTGGACATGCTTTCCGGGAGTTGCCAGCTAATAAAAGGCCGGAGTTTGTGGTTGTAAATGTGAAAGCTGTTGAAATATTCCTATTGGAAAAGGCATATATTCTTAAGAACATGTGAAAGTCTCTAATTTCTTAGTGAATTCAGTCACTCAGCATAATCTACCACCTTATTTATAAAGTGTCGGTCGGTATCCTTGATAAATTCCACTAAGGAACATCATGCGTAACTCTGTCGTCTTATTCAGCATTATCTCCCCAACTCCAATAGGGGTGAAATATTTTTGTGTCCTCTTTGTAGTAGAGGTTGGCTGCAATGTATCCACTAACTATGGGAATATTACATGATGAAACGACAGTCTCTTCTGTAATGCGACACTTATACCACTGTCTGATAAATATATAATAAATTTATTTTGTCTGCATCATCTACTGCAAGAATTGAACCTTGGTATATACTGAGGATTGCATTGTGAAATGATTTCACTAACGTCTAAGAATTGGAACAGTGTGATAAAAAAATGGAATTACCTTCACTGGGATTCATAGATATAGAGGAAGCAACTCCTCCTATCTCTGCTTCTTTCCTGCACAGCTCCAAGTCAGTATGTGTCAGTTTATCATGTCTGCTGTCACTGTGTTCTCTACAACCTCTGTACTAATGGTTCCCAGTCAGCTGAGACCTGCTTGACCCCTCCTGTTGCCTACTGTCACTGTGTTCTCTACAACCTCTGTACTAATGGTTCCCAGTCAGCTGAGACCTGCTTGACCCCTCCTGTTGTCTACTGTCACTGTGTTCTCTACAACCTCTGTACTAATGGTTCCCAGTCAGCTGAGACCTGCTTGACCCCTCCTGTTGCCTACTGTCACTGTGTTCTCTACAACCTCTGTACTAATGGTTCCCAGTCAGCTGAGACCTGCTGACCCCTCCTGTTGCCTACTGTCACTGTGTTGTCTACAACCTCTGTACTAATGGTTCCCAGTCAGCTGAGACCTGCTTGACCCCTCCTATTTCCTACTGTCACTGTGTTGTCTACAACCTCTGTACTAATGGTTCCCAGTCAGCTGAGACCTGCTGACCCCTCCTGTTTTCAGAGGTCGCCCATAAGCCTCATACTGGAGAAATTATTAGAATTACACAAAGGATTGCATTCTGAAGTTGGGGGTTTTGTGTAAATGATGTCAGGGACACCTTGATTCTGCCACTACCTGATGGGGGAAACACTGCGACCAGCTGAAGGTTGTCCCATCACAAATACTGATGTGTGTTAGTGTGTGTCTGTATATGTGTGCATGTATCTGCATCTGAGTGTCTACTTGTGTGTCTCTGTGTGTATCTGTGTATGTCTGCGTGTGTGTTTGCATGAGTGTCTGTGTTTGTGTGTGCTTGTGTTTATGTGTGTCTGTGTATGCATCTGTAAGTGTGTCTGTTCGTGCATGTATGTGTCTCTCTGTGTGTCTGTAAATGTTTTTGTGTCTGTAGGTGTGTCTCTGTATGTGTCTGTGTGCATGTATGTATGTATGTATCTATGTATGTATGAATATATGTATGTATGTGGGTGTGTGTATGCATGTGTATGTAAGTGAGTGAGTGGACGTGAGCATGTGAGTGTGTGTGCGCGCGATTCTTTTGTATTTTTTCTTGATATTCATAATTTGCATATTATTACATGGACATAACATGCTTCATTGGTGATATACAAATGCTGTGTAAAAGATGGGTGTTTGGAAGGGCCAAATGTAAGATGGGTGTTTGGAAGGGCCAAATGTAAGATGGGCCAGCAGCCCAATTTTGTGATTCTTTAAAAATAAAGTTAGTTCGATCAAACCAATCAATTTATAATTGCTTGGATTCTCTCCTCAGTTGATGCAGCATGTAAAGGCTGTTCTGTGATGATTTGTTATTCTTTATTGGCTTAGTGCTGATGTTTGACCACTCCTTTTCACTTGCTGTTATTCTGGTCTGATCATGGCTGCAGATTCACAGCCAACACTTAATTCTCACACTTCTTGTAGTGCATTCAATACATCAGCCTGGTCCATTGCTTGTTTGCCCTCCATGTTAGCCTTTCCTGTAAGCTTGTTCATTCCCTTTTACACCTACATACCCTGGCACATGAACACACAAGTTGAATAATGCCCTGAGCTTGACACATCCACAGCTAAACCTGCTACCCTTTCCCCCCAATAATTTCACTATGCATTACATGATTCCACTTGGTATCGAGAGCCAGTGGATAAGCATGGATAAGCACTACTTGAATGCAGTGTTCTGTGTTTTCAGTTACGCTGCTTTCCAGCGTGCCCCGGCTGTTCGCCCTATTGCAAGTGTTCGTCCTATGGTTGTTGCACATTCTCAGAACAGAGAAGACAAAGCTAAACCATTTGGTAGCCAGCCTTTGAGGCCAGGGGTCAGCATTCACCAGGTTATTACTACCACTGGTAAGTTGTTCTAGTTATTTGTTAACTAGTATATGTTCAGGTGAGATCATGTTACTGGACACAAAGGCTGCAGTGGTCACTTGAGTTTAGGGTAGAGATCATATAGCAAATCAAGTTTGCCAGTTCATTATTCAACTCATTGGCAATTTGACATTAGCATAGTGGCAAAGAAATTCGTTTGTGTAATACAATCTACTGGCCTTTCCGGAAGCTTATTATCAGGGCTTGTTACAGGGAAAGGGGTGATGGCAGGCCAAGACAGATGTTAATCCAAAATCTAACAGGTTAGATTAAAACAGATACATAAGCATCTGATTGCCATAAATGTAAAGATCTAATCTAACAGTCAACAGTAACAGGGTGACCCAGTGACACACAGTGTTGTAAGGCTGTAGATAGAGATAATGTATGTTTAGTGTTTGTTTTAGCACTTCAGTCATGAAGTCTCAAGTTTGAAACCAGTCATAAAACTTATTGAAGAACAACAGATGCAATAGTTTGGCCATCTGACCAGAATCCTTTTACCAAGTACCGCAGAGAGCCATGTCAAAAAATAAATAAAGACTGATGACTAAGCTCTGTGACTGAAATGTTTGTAGACTTTAAGTTTTGTGGGTTTTATCGTCTTCAGAATAGTGCCCTTCTGATTGTACACACTTATTCTACCATTCTTGCGACTTACAGAAGCAATTCTTGTAAGCACTTTCTCTATTAGCCTTCAGCTGTCTCGTCATGTTGGCTGGAATCTCTTCAGTGTCAGTAAATTGGCAATGATTTTCATGACTTTCATATGTTGTGGGAACTAGAAGTCACCAAAAGCCAGATTTGGGGAGTGTGGAAGAAGCAGAATGTGTGCTTTGCCTACTTGGTGATGACAGATCTGTGGGGAAAGTCCTGCAGCACCACCACTAGTCTGTGTACATTGATTGGTGGCACATTGGCATTCTACTTCTGCATCACAACAGTGTCCCTCCTCACAGGTTTGACATTTCAGATGAGCAAGAAAACAACAAAGAGATTGGTTCCTGAATGGTTTGGCTATGTGGCATAAGCAAGACAAGAACTCAGACCTGAATGGTGATAGTCCTTCATCTGGAACCTACAAGACAACAGAAATAAGAGGTCTAAAACACAGAAATGGAAGATCTAAAACACAGAAATGGGAGGTCTAAAACACAGAAATGGGAAGTCTAAAACACAGAAATATAAGATCTAAAACACAGAAATGGGAGGTCTAAAACACAGACATGGGAGGTCTAAAACACAGACATAAGAGGTCTAAAACACAGAAATGGAAGATCTAAAGCACAGAAATGGGAGGTCTAAAACACAGAAATGGGAGGTCTAAAACACAGACATGAAAGATCTAAAACACAGAAATAGAAGATCTAAAACACAGAAATGGGAGGTCTAAAACACAGACATGGGAGGTCTAAAACACAGGCATGGGAGGTCTAAAACACAGAAATGGAAGGTCTAAAACACAGAAATAGAAGGTCTAAAACACATAAATGGGAGGCATAAAACACAGACATGGGAGGTCTAAAACACAGAAATGGAAGGTCTAAAATACAAAAATAGAAGGTCTAAAATACAAAAAATAGAAGATCTAAAACACAGAAATAGGAGGTTTCTAACACAGAAATGGGAGGTCTAAAACACAGAAATGAGAATTAGTCATTAGATCCTTTGAGATGATATGTTCGAAATAGTCCATATTAGTCTGTCTACTGAATAGAAGTAAACCCCTTAAGTGGGTCAAGTAGGTGCTCGCATTTTCTTCCACCGTGGGTTGTTCAGTGGAACCTTAGGATATGAGTTTTTGAGGATATGATGTCAGACTTGCCAGTTTGGTTGCTCCAAAATATGTGGCAAATTCCATGATGTGAGTTGGAGAGACTAGAACTCTTGGCTTTACCCGACACCATCTTTATAACTTTTAAATGAATTAGGCTATGTTAACATGGCTGTAGGACGACTTCAACCAGTCGTCAAGGCAGTTGTTGTTGATGGTCAGAAGTAACCTTGTCTTCCACTGCCAGCACAAACAAAAGGAGTGCCACACATTTCACCCCATTAACAAAACAAAAAATGTAATTTTGTTTTTGATTTTTGGAGGTCTGACATGAATAACAATTAATTACATTGATCCTAATGGGGAACATGTTTGCATCACTAAAACACCGGATGGCCATGGAGAGATAGGTCCCTTATTACTGTAAACTGTTTGCAGCACTAAAACACATAATGGTCATGGAGAAATAGGTCCCATATTACTGTAAACTGTTTGCAGCACTAAAACACATGATGGTCATGGAGAAATAGGTCCCATATTACTGTAAACTGTTTGCAGCACTAAAACACATGATGGCCATGGAGAGATAAGTCCCTTTTTATTGTAAACTGTTTGCAGCACTAAAACATCAGATAGCCATGGAGAGATAAGTCCCTTTTTATTGTAAACTGTTTGCAGCACTAAAACATCAGATAGCCATGGAGAGATAGGTCCCATATTACTGTAAACTGTTTGCAGCACTAAAACATCAGATAGCCATGGAGATATAGGTTCCATATTGCTGTAAACTGTTTGCAGCACTAAAACACCGGATGGCCATGGAGAGATAGGTCCCATATTGCTGTAAACTGTTTGCAGCACTAAAACATCAGATGGCCCTGGAGAGATAGGTCCCATGTTACTGTAAACTGTTTGCAGCACTAAAACATCAGATAGCCATGGAGAGATAGGTCCCATATTGCTGTAAACTGTTTGCAGCACTAAAACACCAGATGGCCACGGAGAGATAGGTCCCATATTGCTGTAAACTGTTTGCAGCACTAAAACATCAGATGGCCCTGGAGAGATAGGTCCCATGTTACTGTAAACTGTTTGCAGCACTAAAACATCAGATAGCCATGGAGAGATAGGTCCCATATTGCTATAAACTGTTTGCAGCACTAAAACACCAGATAGCCATGAAGAGATAGGTCCCATATTGCTGTAAACTGTTTGCAGCACTAAAACACCAGATAGCCATGGAGAGATAGGTCCCATATTGCTGTAAACTGTTTGCAGCACTAAAACATCAGATAGCCATGGAGAGATAGGTTCCATGTAACTGTAAACTGTTTGCAGCACTAAAACACCAGATAGCCATGGAGAGATAGGTCCCATATCACTGTAAACTGTTTGCAGCACTAAAACATCAGATAGCCATGGAGAGATAGGTTCCATGTAACTGTAAACTGTTTAGTTAGTTAGTTAGTTGGGTTATCATCATTGCACTCCGGACATGTCCATAGGTGCTCAGATCCTCCCCTCAGTATGAATCCCAACATCCGATGGCTAATAGTACCAGTTCTATGTTGATTAACAAATCTTCTGACGTGTCCGGTGTGCGTCTCGTTTTTTGCTGTGCCGATCTTAATTCCCAAGTCTGCCATTCTGGCGAGTGATGTGGATTCACTGCCACCAAAGTCCTCTATCCTTCCCATTTCTCTGAGGGCATTGATAATATCAGCATGATCCATAGGCCCACCGTCGGTAGTGATAGCGGATCCAGCCAGCCTGTCAGCTCTTTCATTTCCATCGACGCCTGCGTGTCCCGGAACAAAAATAAAGGTGACTCCTCGCACAGTGGACTTCTGAATTGATTCAAGCCATTGAATTCGCACTGAACCTGCCTGAACCCTCCGGATCATACTCATTGAATCACTGAGTATACATATGCGGGTGTATTTTTGTGTTTCAAGCCAGGCAAACGCTTGCGTCACTGCCATCACCTCCATCGTCATGCTGCTGGTTGTCATGGAGAAGGCGCCGTTGGCTTCTTTGACTGTTCTGCCCGCTGAGCGTGCTGTAAATGCCCATGCGCTTCTTCTTTGGCGTATAACGGATCCGTCTGTATAGATTAGTGCATCTGCTTCGTCTGAATTTTCACCGATGAGAGCGTTGACCTCTGCATTAACAGCAACAGGATTCTCTTCTCTACATCGCCTGTTGAGTGTGACAATACAGGAAAATGTACAAATAAACGCCTAAGGCACAGGTATCCATTCTGCACCAGGTATGATGTCGGTTAGGCTGCATATTTGCCTAATAACATCTTCTGCCCGACCTAGCCACGATTTTCCCCTCTTCAGTCTGTCGCCCTTTTCACTAAAAAGCGCTTGATGCAGTGGGTGTTTCTTATCAGCACATATTTTGAGGTATGCCCGAGCCCTCCACATTCTGATCCTTTGGTTCATTGTTGGAAAGTCAAGTAGATGTGTAAACTGTTTGCAGCACTAAAACATCAGATAGCCATGGAGAGATAGGTCCCATATTACTGTAAACTGTTTGCAGCACTAAAGCACATGATGGCCATAGAGAGATAGGTCCCATATTACTGTAAACTGTTTGCAGCACTAAAACACCTGATGGCCATGGAGAGATAGGTCCCATGTTACTGTAAACTGTTTGCAGCACTAAAACACTGGATGGCCATAGAGAGATAGGTCCCATATCACTGTAAACTGTTTGTAGCACTAAAACACTGGATGGCCATGGAGAGTTAATTTTACCAAGAGGAGAAAAAGAGCTTTCTGGACTTAGCGAACTTTGAGGGAGCGGGTGCAGTCTTTGTGATGAGAGAGACTGCTGTCTTACTTTTGGTGGAGGGGGTGCAGTCTTTGTGATGAGAGAGACTGCTGTCTTACTTTTGGTGGAGGGGGTGCAGTCTTTGTGATAAGAGAGAGGGCTGTCAAGTCAGTTTACCTCACACTCTGAAGGTCATGGATTCATTTCAGTTTATGTCATTCAGTTTATGAGTGCAGTTATTACAGAGATCCCTAGGGCACATCATTGAGATATAGAGGTCTTGCTTTGTGTGATGCTAACGGCAGTGGCTAGGCCATTCTGCGGAGAAAAATACCAAGCCACACATGATAACCAGCTGCAGTAAAGTTGATGCTCTGAGCTTTGACTTGTTTGTGTTGTATTCATTTACTTCTTGATACCTGCATGACTACAGTCACTCTGTGTGTGACATCACATACTAATACAGCTGCTTTATGCATTTTTTCAAGTTGCCTATGCAAGCTTCAGCTAGGACTGACAGATTTTTTATTAGCTTTCAAATGGGACGATCAGAGACATTTTGTGTGATTTCCACTGGCATAGGAAGGGAGCAGTCATGGGGCAGTATTCTACATTGATGTTAGAACCTCTAGTAAATAACTTTCTTGTTTTGTTTCTTTCCCTAATGAAGACATTGTCCTGCCTGGAACTAACACGGGAACTCAGGCTGGTGCTAATGGGAACAAGATTGTGGCCGGAGAAAAGATTATGGTGATCAAAACACCCAAGGGGGTGTATATACGCACAGATGATGGGAAAATGTTTGCAGTCAAATCCAAATCTGGCTCAACTCTTGAAGATATCACCAGGTCATGCATTTCTACCACCAGCACGGCAACAACGGCAACTCTGAGCTCAGCCAGGGGAAGCCGAGGTGAGAAGTGTGCTTGGATTATTTGATGGATGTTTTTGTGACTTTGTTTTAGGGAAGTCATTACAAGATTAGATGTTTCTTCTTCTTCTTCGCGTTCACCAGCTTTACACTCTGGCGTAAAGTTCTGGTTGTTCGTCCACTTCTGGACTGCAGTCCTGCTCCAGAACCTGAGTGTTGCGTGTGCATCAGTTTTACAGATCTGATTCAATTGAATGCAGACTGCTGGTTCCTTGCCTCTCAGGCAGATGCACTCCGACTTCAAAGGAAGCTCCCCAGTTAGTCGACTCTTACGACATGCTTTTGGGGAGGCAGTGGGTCTATTCTTGTTTTCCCCACAAAAGGGCCCTGGAACCCACACGGGGGAATTGAAACTATTGACATTATGCCTGTTTACAGCTAGGCTGGGATATTTGAGCCTTTGGCCCAATACACTGGGGTGCTTACCAGCATCTAATGGCCAGTATATAGCCTTGCCAGGTAGAAACAGACAAACTATGCCAGTTGAGAAAAATCATTCATGAACAAAAGTGTTAGCCACAATCATCAGTACTTAGATGTTTAATACATACAGGCAGTTAACATTTTCCTGACCAGCAGTCTAAGGCATTAATGTCTTCCATTACCAAGGGTGTATGGAGATTTCTTTTCAAGATGACTGGTTTTCTAATAAAATTCATAAAAAATGCAAAACCGAGCGTAGGATTTTAAAACCTACAGAGCACTGTTTTGAATGGTTGGTGCACATCAAAAAAGATATATTATGCAAATATGTCACATGATCATTGTGGCCAACTTGAATGTGTTTCGCTATTTATAGAAATTTCAGGAAATGTTCTAAAACCATTATCTTGTTTTCTTCAGTTCTTAGCGAATTTGTTCAATATCAGCGCAATAAAATGTTGGGGACGTGGTTGGCGATGAATAAAATGAGCTAAATAGAAGCACATTTTTAGCGATTGACCAAGAATGTTCAGTATTAAAAGCGAATAAAAATGTAAATAAAGTTGAAAACAAATTTCGTTTATTGTTTTTTTTTTTTTCATATTACAATGAGCATTTGTGAATGCTTGATTATAAAAAGCACCTCTAGTTGAAGTCTGATCTACTTCATTCATTAACTGGAGTTGAAGCTGTAGCCCTGTCTTTGTCAGGAACGTGTTATATAGCTTGAAGAAATGGTATCAAGCATAGAGGTGTATTGCAATCTGGGCAGAATATGCAAATCTAGCTTCTTTTACCTGCAGCCTTACACACTTTACAGTCTGGTTTGTACTTTGGATTTCATTTTTTTTTTGGTGCTCAGTAAATCGTTAAGCTGTAACATATGGTTTTGAAGGTGTAACATATGGTCTTGAAGGTGTAACATATGGTCTTGAAGGTGTAGCATATGGTCTTGAAGGTGTAACATATGGTCTTGAAGGTGTAAGATATGGTCTTGAAGGTGTAACATATGGTCTTGAAGGTGTAAGATATGGCCTTGAAGGTGTAAGATATGGCCTTGAAGGTGTAACATATGGTCTTGAAGGTGTAAGATATGGTCTTGAAGGTGTAAGATATGGCCTTGAAGGTGTAAGATATGGCCTTGAAGGTGTAACTATGGTCTTGAAGGTGTAAGTATGGTCTTGAAGGTGTAAGATATGGTCTTGAAGGTGTAACATATGGTCTTGAAGGTGTAACATATGGTCTTGAAAGTGTAACAAATGGTCTTGAAGGTGTAACATATGGTCTTGAAGGTGTAACATATGGTCTTGAAGGTGTAACATATGGTCTTGAAGGTGTAACATATGGTCTTGAAGGTGTTACATATGGTCTTGAAGGTGTAAGATATGGCCTTGAAGGTGTAAGATATGGCCTTGAAGGTGTAAGATATGGCCTTGAAGGTGTAAGATATGGCCTTGAAGGTGTAACATTTGGTCTTAAAGGTGTAACATATGGTCTTGAAGGTGTAACATATGGTCTTGAAGGTGTAACATATGGTCTTAAAGGTGTAACATATGGTCTTGAAGGTGTAACATATGGTCTCGAAGGTGTAAGATATGGTCTTAGAGGTGTAACATATGGTCTTGAAGGTGTAACATATGGTCTTGAAGGTGTAAGATATGGTCTTAAAGGTGTAAGATATGGCCTTGAAGGTGTAACATATGGTCTTGAAGGTGTAACATATGGTCTTGAAGGTGTAACATATGGTCTTGAAGGTGTAACATATGGTCTTGAAGGTGTAACATATGGTCTTGAAAGTGTAACATATGGTCTTGAAGGTGTAAGATATGGTCTTGAAGGTGTAAGATATGGTCTTGAAGGTGTAAGATATGGTCTTGAAGGTGTAACATATGGTCTCGAAGGTGTAACATATGGTCTCAGAGGTGTAACATATGGTCTCGGAGGTGTAACATATGGTCTCGGAGGTGTAACATATGGTCTTGAAGGTGTAACATATGGTCTTGAAGGTGTAACATATGGTCTCGAAGGTGTAACAATGTTCTGAAGAACAACAGGTCTAATAACAGCAAGACTGATTCCTGCCTAAACCTTTTGCTGTGACCTTATACACAGAGTTGGGTCACTGACCAGAGCAGTGTTATAGCTTTTATGCTTATTGAACAGAGCAGTGTTGTAGCTTTTATGCTCATTGAACAGAGCAGTGTTGTAGCTTTTATGCTTATTGAACAGAGCAGTGTTGTAGCTTATCTGATCACTGAACAGAGCAGTGTTGTAGCTTGTATGCTCATTGAACAGAGCAGTGTTGTAGCTTTTATGCTTATTGAACAGAGCAGTGTTGTAGCTTTTATGTTCACTGAACAGAGCAGTGTTGTAGCTTATCTGATCACTGAACAGAGCAGTGTTGTAGCTTTTATGCTCATTGACCAGAGCAGTGTTGTAGCTTTTATGCTCATTGACCAGAGCAGTGTCACTTAAAAATAAATTAATAATATAATGGCAGGTACCAATTATAGGATGTAGGTGTGTAGGAGTAGTTTGCACCCAGCTGGCCGAAGTGATCGACCCCCCCACCCCTCTCTCCCATAGTGTTTTTTTTTCTGCAAGAACCGGCTTATTTATTATTCTACCCTAAAACAGAAGATATCAGATGAACTCTCTTAGTGTCATGACAGGTAACGGCCAACATTCCTTTATATTTTGGCACATAAAACAGAATGATCTGCCTTTTTTAGTTTCAACTGGTTTTTCTTCAAAAAAATCAATGGGCGCACACGCAGTCGTGTCAGACATGGAACCTTGTTGTTCTTAGTATAAAGGAAGATTGTCAAGCTTAACTAATTCATTTTGAGCAGCCTTTCTGCATTTACAAACAGCATTTTCAGCTGTAGAAGTGTTTTGGTCTCTTGTACCACACCCACTTTTTTGTTCAGATGTACCTGCATCACCTCCGTCATCAAGTCTGTCATCGTTGTCGCTATTTTCAGTTGCGATAAAACATTAACATTCACAAGTGAATCTCTACTTGTCCCGGAATTATCATTTTCAGCACTAAATTTGCTGGCAGATTCCAAATAATCAATACTACTCGTCTGGTTTTCATCATCAGACGTGACAAAAAGGTTGAATATGCGCTGGAAACAAAAATTATCAAAATTTCAATTATAACACTTGTATCAGTTCAAAGCCTTATCGATCGTGGGTGCAGCCATTTTGGAATAATAAAAACACCTGCTTGAAGCTCAATTTAAAAACTATAGGAAAACCTGCCTGTCTGCAGCCTACATGTCATGAATTCGCAGATTGGCGAAGTTGGTCAGCAAAGGATATGACTGGAAATCCGCATATCGACGAAGTTGGTCAGCTAAGTATTAATACCAAAATAGAGAGCTCCATATATACGAGTAGAGGTCAATAAATAGGTCACAAATAGTTATGGGATGGCAGGCAAATGTAGTTGGTGTTTTCTAAAGGTGTCATTAGGTGACAGCAACATGGAACTTTATGTCTTCATTTGTTAGGTGGTGCTAGGTGTTGCATGCACATTTGCATCACAGAAACAAAATGGCGTCTACACTTATGGAGTGTACCCTCAAAGAACAATGTGTTGTTGTGGTGGGGGGTGGGGGTGCAAAAGGGCTGCCTGCAAAGGACATTTATAAGCAAAAGCTTCCTCTTTATGCTGACAGTTGTTTATCCCGCAAAGTGGTGCATAGCTGGGGGGGGGGGGGGGGGGGGGGTGATTCTCATGGGTGCTCTAAAATTGTTGATGAAGTCCAATCTGGTCGTCCTGTTGAGATTGCAGTAGATGCATCCATGCAGCAGGTGGAGATGATTAGAGGCGACAGTTGAGTAACGGTTGACTCTATAGCAACTGCAATAGGGTCACCTGTAAACTCCAACACCCTGTCATCCAAGGAACAATTAAAAAGTAGATCATGATCCCATGAGAATATCTGAAGAAAAAATCCTTGCAGAGATGACGACACAATGGAACCGTGTCAAAACCAAAACCATGTAGAACCATACTGGCTAGGAAAAATATTCTTACTACTTTTTTTTTAGGTTTCAAACTGAGCCTTTGTCTTGGTAAGCAAGTGTACTAACCACTCTATAACTTAAGCTCCTAGATTGCCGTGTGTAACTGCAGTATGCTTGAGTATGTGGTGACAACTGGCAGACTTGGTGGGTAAGAGCAGTTGGTTAAATGTGTGAGTCATGACCACCTGTGCCTGTTGGCATGGTAGTGATGAGCAGTTGGTTAAATGTGTGAGACAGTCAGTCATGACCACCTCTGCCTGTTGGAGTCGCCGTGGCCGAGCGGTCAGACGCTCGCCGCGGATCGGAAGGTCATGGGTTCGCTCCCTGGCGGAGTCAGACTTATTTCAAAAATGACCTTGTCTCCAAGGTCGACCCAACCTTGAGTGGGTACCGGGTGCAGTCCCGGGAAGTAAAGGCGGCCGGCGTGATGCTGACCACATCACCCATCTTGTGCCGATTGGTCTATAAAAATAAAGGTCTAGCCCTATATGCCGAATACGCCTAAAGGCCTGGAAAAGGGTCGTTTACTTTTTTTTACTTTTTTACCTGTGCCTGTTGGCATGGCAGTGATAATGATGATGATGAGAGGCAGTATCCCAAAAAAAAAAGGCATGTATTTGCAGATAGAGCTGAGCATTTGAGAACAAACATACAATGGTTCTGAAATCCCATGTTGTAATTGTGGCAGACATTTCCTGATGCAGGCAGGTCTTGCTGGTCATACTCTCTATGGTCTGCGATTTTTATGTCTCCTTGTAGCACAACACTGTCTTCTAGAAGGATGGAAAGATGTCAGTCTTTTTGCTGCTCTGATGCAGCTGTGGATCTCTAGGGGACTGACGCAGCTGTGGATCTCTAGGGGACTGATGCAGCTGTGGATCTCTAGGGGACTGGCGCAGCTGTGGATCTCTAGGGGACTGACGCAGCTGTGGATCTCTAGGGGACTGACGCAGCTTATCTCTAGAGGACTGACACAGCTGTGGATCTCTAGGGGACTGACGCAGCTGTGGATCTCTAGGGGACTGATGCAGCTGTGGATCTCTAGGGGACTGGCGCAGCTGTGGATCTCTAGGGGACTGACGCAGCTTATCTCTAGAGGACTGACACAGCTGTGGATCTCTAGGGGACTGACGCAGCTGTGGATCTCTAGGGGACTGAAGCAGATGTGGATCTCTAGGGGACTGACGCAGCTGTGGATCTCTAGGGAACAGGGTTGTATGTATTTTAAACATGTTTACTTCAAAGGAGTCATTTTCTGTATTGAATTCTGATTTCAGATTTTCCTGGCTATGGCACCTCTGCTGCTTCTGGTGGGAAAAGGTCACAATTTACCATCGCTGGCAACAAGAAGGGCCTGTCATTTACTGGATCAGAAAGTGGTCATAATTCTAGGACATCCGCATATGAGAATTTCACTTCACTAGGTTCTTTGAAACCACAGTTTCTGAAAACAGGTAAAACTAATGCCTGAAATTGTGATTGTGGTCATCTCATCTCAAATTTTTCCTTGGTTGGAAATTCAGCAATTAATTCAAGATAATGCTAGTTCAGAGGATTTGATCATTTACAGACGGTTCAGTGTCAAGAGGCAAAAGAAGTGCTTGGGGCGTTTTAGCAAAAGTTAATGTTTGATGTTTGGTGCAGGAGAGCCTAGCGTATGATACCACAACATCCAGCTTTAGAATGGAGGTGGAGGCAGTCACTGCAGCTTTCCGCTGGCTAGAGAAAACGACACACATACACACTGTTATTGTAACTGATTCAGAAAGCATGCTGAGGAAGATCAGAACAGGTATGCTTCGTGCAGAGTGACATGCTTCGCTGCGGAGGACACGAGTGAGGAGTATTGTCTGGATTTTTTCTCCAGGTTACGGCGGTGTGTTGGAAAATGAACAGGCGGACAGACTGGCTGGATCTGCACAACTTGGTGAAAATACTGCTACATTATAGGGCAGACATGGTTAGTGCCTTGTGGGAGAGCGTGTACAATGCAGAGGAGCAGATGGATCACCACAGTGTGGTGAGATTGATGCAGTTGGGAGTGCCGAGAGGTTCTGGCAGAAGCTCAAGGCTCAGAGGAAAGGCAAGACGGACGTTTAATCAGAAAGCTACTGGCACCATTAGTATCCGAACTCTTCGCTGGCTGCTGAAGATTGGGACGGAGCACCCCGAGTGCTGTGATGTCAGTTCTTGAATCAAATCAAAAATGCCAGCCATGTTTACCACCCAGGCATTATGCCAGCCATGCTTACCATCTAGGCATTATGCAAGCCATGTTTACCACCTAGGCATTATGCCAGCCATGTTTACCACCCAGGCATTATGCCAGCCATGTTTACCACCTAGGCATTATGCCAGCCATGTTTACCACCTAGGCATTATGCCAGCCATGTTTACCACCTAGGCATTATGTCAGCCATGTTTACCACCCAGGCATTATGTCAGCCATGTTTACCACCTAGGCATTATATCAGCCATGTTTACCACCTAGGCATTATGCCAGCCATGTTTACCACCTAGGCATTATGCCAGCCATGTTTACCACCTAGGCATTATGCCAGCCATGTTTACCACCTAGGCATTATGCCAGCCATGTTTACCACCTAGGCATTATGCCAGCCATGTTTATCACCTAGGCATTATGTCAGCCATGTTTACTACCTAGGCATTATGTCAGCCATGTTTACCACCTAGGCATTATGTCAGCCATGTTTACTACCTAGGCATTATGCCAGCCATGTTTACTACCTAGGCATTATGTCAGCCATGTTTACCACCTAGGCATTATGTCAGCCATATTTACTACCTAGGCATTATGCCAGCCATGTTTACCACCCAGGCATTATGCCAGCCATGTTTACCACCTAGGCATTATGCCAGCCATGTTTACCACCTAGGCATTATGTCAGCCATGTTTACCACCCAGGCATTATGTCAGCCATGTTTACTACCTAGGCATTATGTCAGCCATGTTTACCACCCAGGCATTATGTCAGCCATGTTTACTACCTAGGCATTATGTCAGCCATGTTTACCACCTAGGCATTATGTCAGCCATGTTTACCACCTAGGCATTATGTCAGCCATATTTACTACCTAGGCATTATGCCAGCCATGTTTACCACCCAGGCATTATGCCAGCCATGTTTACCACCTAGGCATTATGCCAGCCATGTTTACCACACAGGCATTATGCCAGCCATGTTTACCACACAGGCATTATGCCAGCCATGTTTACCACCCAGGCATTATGCCAGCCATGTTTACCACCCAGGCATTATGCCAGCCATGTTTACCACACAGGCATTATGCCAGCCATGTTTACCACCTAGGCATTATGCCAGCCATGTTTACCACCTAGGCATTATGCCAGCCATGTTTACCACCTAGGCATTATGCCAGCCATGTTTACCACTTAGGCATTATGGCAGCCATGTTTACCAATGGTAACAATTTTAGACTGGGTTGTCGTAGGAGTCAGAGTCAGTTTTAAAAAAAAATTTGCTCTAATGTAGATTTGAACTCAAGAACTTGTGGCAGGCAGTCAATCCTGTAACCGTTTAAATTTTTGACACTAGCCCCCATATTTTTGTAAGTAAATCAATGCAGCACAGACTGACTATTAAGCTCAGTGAGAGGAAAGGAGACAACAATACATAATTAACAGCACCCAGCATTTGGACCAAGTCATCATTGAATAGAACAGCCAGAAACAATCCTTATCAGTTTCTGTAACCAGGAAGAAGAAGAAAAGACCACAACAAGTGAATGATCATATAGAACGGAAATACACAAACTTAAAAGACGTAAAAAGTTATTGTAAAAAGGATCATGAATGAATTGGCATTGACTCTGTGAGTCCCATGGGGTTTACCATCACGGGCCCCAGGGGTAGTCAAGAGACAACTAAAATCAGCGCGTCATCTGTTCATTGGGCTTCTAGGTAGGAACCTATGAACATATGATGTGTTTCTTGGGACTCGGAGAGTTAAATGTTGTGAATTGACCACCTTTATCTCTCAAATAATTTGCTGCAAGTTTTTTTTTAGCTGAGTTGACCTGGGAGCCCAAGACACTGTTAAAAATAATCGAGCAGAACAATTGGTACAGAATGAGGCAGTTAAACAAGACACATGTGGTCAATAATTTTCTCATAATTACAAAGCTGATTTGAATTTATATCAGTAGACATCTAATGTACGGTAATATGGTCTTTCAACAGGGACAGCAGAGTTGAGATCATCACCAGCGTTTTCACCCATTCCATCACTACAGTTCCCCCTGCCAGCTTCTGGGTCTGGTAAAAACACCTCTCTTGCAGATCTCATCGCTAGTGATGATTACATTGCAGACAGAAACAAAATGATCAGTGCTGCACAGATGCATGCCAGATCTAAGATGCCTGGAACTGACCTGCCCTCACTTGCTACGCGAACACCTCGCCAGCTATCACATATTCAGATGTCAGCAGCAGCATCTTCTGGTGGTGGTGGTGGTGGTGGCGGCGGCGGCGGCATGGTAGGACCAGCAAACCACAGGCTGAGAAGATCTGTGGCTGCAGAACACAACTCTGCTCTGGGCATGGATAAGAAGAATGAAGTCCAGCGGTTTTCGGCCAAAAACACTCTTGCTCAAAACAACAAGCATGGTGCTGCTGCAGGTGCTGCATATTCAGTTCCCATGACATCGAACAGTGAGTCTCTCTGTGTGTTGTTTACTTTGTCTGATACATAAGCAGCTTAGTCTTCAACTTCCTTACCTATTTCTAGCCATTACGATCATTCAAGTGACCCACTTAAAAACGAAAGTAGAGATCGCTTAGTTACAAGATAGAGTCGGTGGTCCAAGAAAAATGGCTCCTTTGCGTATCAGTTACTTTGAAATCCCGTCGCTTAATACTGGCTGTTCAGGATCGAATATGTGGGCTCAAAGTTATTCAGAAAAGGTCGCTCAACCAATCGACACCTAACTTACATAGCGATCTTTGATCAGCCAAATAAATTTCACTATTTGCCATGCGGGAAGTAAATTTATTTAATATCTCCTTTTTAAAGTGAATATATATACTAGGAATTGTCATTTTTGGATTCTGCGTCCATTTTTACATAAATATGGGCAGTTTTGCCGGAATCTGTACATCACAAAATTTAAACTTTCAATTTCTTCCCGGTCACTTCTTGAAAGCTGAATCGGCGATTTTTCAAAATGGCTACCGCATGGCCTAAACAAACTGTTTATCTCAGATTAATTAATCTAGTTATTTATAAAAACAGTTAAAAAATAATGCAAGTTTTATTTGTATTAATAATTTACCTTTCTTTAACTTTAATTTCACATGAGTTTTAATAATTTTAGATACCTGAAAATAATGTTTTAGCACGTTTTTGACATGGACTATTTCTAGGGTATTTTGCGTTAAAAATGGACACAGACAATGGTTTAAACATTTTATAATAATAGTTTTAAATAAATATATAGTAGTTATTTAATCATTTTTTGAATCTTTAGCCATTATAGTATTTTTTAAGCCATAACTTATCATTAGGCATGAATAACATTTCCTGTTTGAAGCCTTTTTACCTGTGGGCCCCCACTCCCCACACCCAGACTGACATTTAAAAAAATGTCTGCCACACATTTCTGCACTATGATTTTGTGGTGCATATTTATTGTCTTAAATAGTATAAATAACAGTTATTATTTATAACTGATACTGTTTTAAAATTGCAGTATTGACTTATAGATGATGATTTAGAAAGTTGATTAAAAAAATTAATAATAATATATTATAATATTTTCAACTGAATAAATTCACTTACTTACAACTTATGATTAATAATATTTAATCACAGATCACGTAGGACATAGATACGTTAATAAAATATAATGTAATTTTTCCTCTTACCTTATGAAATGCTGCTCCATGAAAACACAACATAAATCCAAAGCGAATTACATCTCCATGAAAACACAACATAAATCCAAAGCGAATTACATCTCCATGAAAACACAACATAAATCCAAAGCGAATTACATCTCCATGAAAACACAACATAAATCCAAAGCGAATTACATCTCCATGAAAACACAACATAAATCCAAAGCGAATTACATCTCCATGAAAACACAACATAAATCCAAAGCGAATTACATCTCCATGAAAACACAACATAAATCCAAAGCGAATTACATCTCCATGAAAACACAACATAAATCCAAAGCGAATTACAAAGGAGCTTATTTAATAATTTTACTCCATGAAAAAATATAGCACTGAGTCACAAATCGATTATTTTGAACAAGTAAATAAAATATCAAGCAGTGACTAGTTAAGAAGAAGAGGGGAACAATGTGGTAAAATGTCTCATCATCAATAAAATGAAAGAATAACTCGCAAAGATTGAAAAAGGGATTATGTTAAATCAGTAAGAGGGGTGCTCATTTTCACCTGGTTATAAAACAATATAGGAATATAGGGGTCTCCGTATCAAAGTGGTCAAGCCGTTAACCTCGCGCTCGGAAGATTATGGTACGTTCATTTACAACTGCATTGTTCGACTCGAAAATGCATTTTTTTGGTTAGCGGAGACCTCTGAGGGCTGTTGCTGGAGCTACGGTATCCAGGCTTTGTGCTAAGCTCTCAGCATGCGCTATTTGTTCAGTATTGTGGAGAAAGACAAAGCCATATAAAATCAGTAACGATGCAATGAAGTCAATCCACTCGCTATTAAACATTTTTTAAACAGTGGAATAAAGCAAATTTCGGTCAGATGTATGCACACACACAAACACACACACACACACACAAATGAGAGTGCGAGAAAAAGCATTTTTCAACAAATAGGAAAAGATGCATCATAACAGGAAGAATAGATACAAGAGTATATATATATATATTACAGTATACGTCTTGCAAGACTCACTGGATAATAATAATTAATTCATAAGGTATTTAATGAATACTGATAAATTTACTCATTTTTATGTTATTTAGGTTTGCATCACATCATATTTTTAAAAAGGCAACAACTTTAGTTAGAGCTTGCTGTCCTGAAAGCAATGACATATGGTTGCTAAGGGGTTCAGCCAAAAACTTGAGAGTTATTGACATTAAACATGATAAATTTAGGTCCAGTTTTCACTTGGGAACCGCCGCCATCTTGTTTCTGTGTTTTCCGTTATAATTTTTTGAGGGCACTTTCCGTCACTGAAATGTGAATATCTCCGCTTAGAATTGACATACAGACTTCATTGAGGTACCGTTGGACTCAGTTTTTCAACCTCTATTCAGCTGTCTTGGTTTAAAAGTAAAAAACCTAAAATAAAAATTTTGACTAAAATCCCTACTATTTCAATCATGTCTTCTCCTTTTTTTTTTTTTTTTTTAGTTAAAGCAACATCTGCTGAATAGAGGTTAGAAAATCTTCTGTTGCTGGAGTGTTGTTTCTAAGACAAAGTGCTGCAATAACATCTGCTCAGTTGATCTCCACCCTAACCGATACATAATTAGGCAGCTGTTTTTTTTTACCACCAGGAGATTTCCAGACCACAAGTTCAAAGGATGTAGAGTGTAGGTTCCCAAACTTATTTGGCAAATAAATTAATTTGCAGCAGTCCCAGACACTGAATATCTCACAGAACTTGACTTCAGTTTTTGTGAGAAATGTATCTTTTACGATTGTCAGATTTTAAACATTTCTGGTTGCCTGTTGTGTTACTGTTGATGATAACAGCATCATCAAGTGTGTGAAAATCATAACTGTTATAGTTTCTTGCTTCTTGTTGCTGTATCACTTTCTTCTTTAGTATTTCTGTTTCCGAGTTTTTAATAGCTGCCTGTCAGATCAGATAGTGATTTTGTGTGTGTGTGTGGTACTTAGTGCTGTTATGTTATACAAATAACTTTAAATCATCTGTTTCTGTTCACAGAAAAGCAAACATTGTCGCACATAGAAACACAGGCTTCACACAACTTTAACAGGAATCTGTCCCACAACAGCCTGAGGGATACACAGCAGCAGATCTCCCAGAATTATTCGGATGTGGCTGGCACATACAAGAGCAACACAGAAACTGGAAGTTCACACAAGTTCCTGACATCCTCACCGCCATCATCTGAGGGGGACACAAACTCACTGGGCAGGGATCTGCAGGCTGACACACTAACAGTGGGCAGAGATTTGGTTCAGGATAGTCTGGGAATGTCCAGCCAAAGACCCCACTCTGCTGGTTTTGGCCAGAGATACAGAAGTGGTGAAGCATCTGCTGACTTGAGTAAAAATGTCACAGAAGAAGGAAGCAAAGCCCTGCAAAATACTGGCCAAAAGTTCAACATGGCTAACACTCAGCGATTTAGTCCCTACCCCTCAGATTTGTTCAACCCCTATTTAGATTCAACTCAGGGGAAAAGACCTGTACAGAAACATTTGTCAACATATTTGGATGTTAACGATTTCCTGCCATTCTCTTCAATTCCATTTAGCCAGAGCGTACCCGCATCTTTGAATCATTTAGAAGATGATATGCATGAGGCTAGCAGTGTCTACGACTCTTCCAGTTCTAACTCATACCAGTTTGGTTCATCGTTTACCCCAAGTATTCAGCCAAATGCAACTTTTCCATCAACAAACAGTTCTAACAATCCATCCTTTAGCTATAGCTCCAACTTTGTTGACAGAGGGTCTGTCAACTCACCCTCTTTTGTGCCTCAGGATCATGGTCAGCAAGACTCTCTGCCATCAAAGATTAAAACTACTTTCAATCTGCCAAACAGTAACACTCTTTATTCTATGGACATGCCATTCGATGATGTTTCATCTCAGGGCCAGCAGCAGAAGTTTTCAACATCATCATCCTCATCAACAACACCTACTCCTCAGGAACATGGTCTTGTGACCATGGACTCCAGCGCTGCGTCACCAGCATCCAGTCCACGACATGCTTCAAACATCTCCGACAGCATCAACCATTTTCTGGCTATAGCCAGTAGCCAAAAGAACAGTGCTGACAACAGAACAAGTAACAGTACTTCCCAAGGATTCAGATCTAGCAGCTATGACATGCAAGAATCCGGCCCTACAAATGACGACTCAAATGGTTCTAATTCACTTGGTGGCAGTAGTTTTAGCATGATCCAAACTGGTAGATTCTCACCTGCTCATTCACGTGGAACTGATAAAATTAGAGGTGGTATATCATCTGTTACCACATCATCCCAGCCACAATCATTCAGATCAAAGAGAGAACATGAAAGTTCAGCACCGTACTACAACAGCAAAATGAGTTTATTCAACAGCCAAAGTATGCAAAGATCGGCTGGAGATGATTACGGAAGTAGTTCTGCATACGATTCCAATTACGGTACATCAGCACAGCCATTTTCATCATCCACATTGATGTCCCCTTCAGAGCAACCAAGATATTCCCAAGCCTCGCTGAGTTACCCCAGATTGTCGCCCTTGATGTCAGGAACTTCCTCGTCTCCTTCACCAGCCCTCCCCAGTGATGGTGGATCAATATGGCCTTCGTTGTCTGCAGGTGTAATCGACAGAGATTATAATTACCCACCTCATTCCTCAAACGTAGGTTTTTCTACAGGGCACAATCAGACCTTGGGCCAGTTCACAGATTCAGAAGCTAACCTTTAAGTTAATGTATGTCTCTTGAATGTTTCAGATAATTGATATATAATTGTGCATATACATGGTGTTATATTATCCAGGGGTGGGGACATTTCGTTTTTTAATGCCATTTGGACATTTCATGGGAATACAAAACTTATCCACATAAACATTAGTCTGCTGTACTTAGTGAAACATTTAATCAACTCACTTAACTTTCACAAACTGTAAACTGTGGGGGAAAGTTCTAATTGTTTGTCCACTTCTGAACTTTGGTCTTTTTCTAGACATTGAATTTACCTGCATATCCATTTTACAGATCTGGCTTATTTATATGCAGACGTTTGTTTCTCACCCCTCAATCAGGTGCACTCCAGCATCAAATGAAACACCTCTAACTAGTTGCCTTTTATGACATGCTTGTTAGTTAGCAATGGGGAGGACAGATCGACAGTCGTTTGAATACCGGATCAGTTAAAAGTGGCCCAAAAGACATTGAAGTCAGTTATTCCACTCCATTGTTTTCTCCTCTGAACTGCTAGCTGAAAGTTTGATCACCCTGATAGGGTCATAGGGCAAACCTGCCTAGCATCCACATGATACTGAAGAATTATCAGCTGTGTTGGTCTGGTAACCAAACCCGCATGCCGGACTATCGCCTCCAAAAGAGTATTCTGTGGCGAGCTCCAGCACAAAGAGTGGTCCCAGGGAGGACAGAAAAAGTTTGTAAGCGCACTCAAAACTTCTCTAAATTCTTTTGGCATCAACACGGGACTGTTCTGGATGGCACACGTGCATCAATAGGCAAAAAAACTGACTAGAAAAAAACCGTATCGGTAATCCCACACTTACTGCGGTTTCCATCTGTTGTCTGCACTGCTCAAGAACTTTCCAGGCTCATATTGGACTAATTAACCACCTTCGTACTCATAATCATTGCTCATTACTACTTTGGATTCCCCGTGTGGGATCCGGGGCCCCATTGTGGGGGAAAACAAGAATAGACCCACTGCCTACCAACTGCCTAATTGGTAGCTTCCTTTGAAGTTGGAGTGCATCTGCCTGAGAGGCAAGGAACCAACAGTTTGCATTCAAGTGAATCAGATCTGTAAAACTGATGCACACGCAACACTCAGGTTCTGGAGCAGGACTGCAGTTCAGGTGTGGATGAACAACCAGAACTTTCCCATCGAGTGTACAGCTGGTGAACGCGAAGAAGAAGAAGAAAAAGAAGACTACTTTGGATGAAAAGAAGTCTTTATCTCTCGTGATTGGTGACAACGTGACCACCCTAAAATAAAAAGAAGTCTCAGCCTGGATGGCAGGCCAACAGGGCAGATCCAGAAAACTGCGTTCAGTCTCAGAAAAGGTTAATAACTGGGTCTGGACCTGTGTGAGTAAGGAGTTCAGTATTATTTCATTAAGTGAACTTATCAAGAGCCTACCATATATGATTATTTTTGCCAATATGTTTAGTGTTGACAGACGAAACATGTTAAGAGGTGATGTTGGACACACATACAACCACAGTTTTTCAACCATAGAGTTACATCAGAACCCTGTGAGTACCCCCTGTATTTGCACAAATCTGTATTGGCTGTGTATATGCAGGGGCTTCAGAAGGAAACCTCAGAATTGTGATAGAAATTACAATAACCAATCCATTGTCTTGTAGCCTGTCAGTTTTGTCAAGGATGTCGAATGTCAAGCACGTGACATCACAGTGCAGATGAATAAGCACAGTGATGTCATAATGACAGTTATAAAGATGGTCACCCCAATGTTGACATTGTATTAGAGGGTCATAGTAGGTAGCACAGTAGTTAGCATGCTTGCCTGTAGGCTTCTTGGTTGTGTTCAAATCCCCACAGAGGTGGCGATTTGAGCACAGTAGATAGCATGCTTGCCTGTAGGCTTCTTGGTTGTGTTCAAATCCCCATGGAGATGGGGATTTTCCCCCAACTGGCTTGGCTTCCATGTCTACCCAGACTAATACGAGTACTATGAAATTTCCTGGGAAGTAAAGGATTTGGTGTGATATTGATCACGTTGATTAATTTATTGGTTTATTTAAAAAATATAGGGCGAGCATCGATTATGCTTTAGGCATGGAAACGGGTCCTTTTTTGGGGGGGTTTACATACACATACTGTATAGATGGCTGATGATGTTTGTTTGTTGTGAATGTATTGTCAGACAAGCCACTGTGTGAGAGGAGCCAGTTGTTCTGAAGAAAAGATCAAATAGCTTGGTCATCTTGCTAGAATTTGTTTCTTTATCTTCACATTCACCAGCTCTAAACAGACAGAAAGTCCTTGTTGTTCATCCATATCTGGACTTCGGTCATGTTCCAGAGCTGAGTTGTACAGGTTTAGCTTATTCATGTGCAGACTATTGGTTCCCAACTCTCAGGGTTGTACACTGTGTACCTGTTTCTGTGATGACCACAGACGTGTGGACAGGCCTTGATCAGTATTAGCCTTAGCCCACAACCCTGTGTGATCCAGTATCTCTGTATCTGCCTCTCTTGTAGAATGTAGCAGCCTGTGTCTAAGAACCCACATTCCCGTGGGATTCAGTATCTCTATATCTGCCTCTCTTGTAGAATGTACCAGCCTGTGTCTAAGAACCCACAACCCCGTGGGATCCAGTATCTCTGTATCTGCCTTTCTTGTAGAATGTACCAGCCTGTGTCTAAGAACCCACAACCCCGTGGGATCCAGTATCTCTGAATCTGCCTCTCTTGTAGAATGTACCAGCCTATGTCTAAGAACCCACAACCACGTGGGATCCAGTATCTCTGTATCTGCCTCTCTTGTAGAATGTACCAGCCTGTGTCTAAGAACCCACAACCCCGTGGGATCCAGTATCTCTGTATCTGCCTCTCTTGTAGAATGTACCAGCCTGTGTCTAAGAACCCACAACCACGTGGGATCCAGTATCTCTATATCTGCCTCTCTTGTAGAACGTACCAGCCTGTGTCTAAGAACCCACAACCCCGTGGGATCCAGTATCTCTGTATCTGCCTCTCTTGTAGAATGTACCAGCCTATGTCTAAGAACCCACAACCCCGTGGGATCCAGTATCTCTGTATCTGCCTCTCTTGTAGAATGTACCAGCCTGTGTCTAAGAACCCACAACCACGTGGGATCCAGTATCTCTATATCTGCCTCTCTTGTAGAATGAACCAGCCTGTGTGTAAGAACCCACAACCCCGTGGGATCCAGTATCTCTATATCTGCCTCTCTTGTAGAATGTACCAGCCTGTGTCTAAGAACCCACAACCACGTGGGATCCAGTATCTCTATATCTGCCTCTCTTGTAGAATGAACCAGCCTGTGTGTAAGAACCCACAACCCCGTGGGATCCAGTATCTCTATATCTGCCTCTCTTGTAGAATGTACCAGCCTGTGTCTAAGAACCCACAACCACGTGGGATCCAGTATCTCTATATCTGCCTCTCTTGTAGAATGTACCAGCCTATGTCTAAGAACTGATACAAGAATGTGAAGGAGATGATGAATTGTTGACATTTAAGACATTGTGCATTCACAAGGAAAGAACGGCCAGTGCCAAGTACTGGACCACAAACTGCTCCTCCCCACGTTGCTTGATGTCAGAGCGAATATAAATCTCTACAGAAATTAATTGTAATTGTTGTCCCCATGAAGTTCACATGTAAAAATTAGCACATTACTTGTGTCGTACACAATTGTTCAGTTTACTTTTTTGTGCATGCTATTTAACCAGATAAAATCAACCAACCATTTCTTCATAACCTCAGCTGCATTATCTGCACTTTCCATTAGTTTGTTTGTTTACTTTTTTCTTTTCATTTTCAATGTTAACTTAGCTTGCTAGTTCATAAACAGAATCTCATTGTCTGTTGCATGTCATAACTAGATATATTATGTTTGTTACTTTCTTGTGAACAATGTTGATGGTTCAGCCAGTCAAGTTGTCAACTTGTAATCACTATTACAGTATGAGCCGAAGGAAACATCGAGTGTTTGTTCTTTGAAATGTGACCATGTTTAACCCTGCTGATGAAGCTTTGGTAATAATTATTGTCTGGTAAAATCTAGTGGGGAGGGATGGAAATGACATTATCTAGTCAGGGAGGGGGGGAGGATACAATCCAGGGGCCAAGTTAAACAAGACAATAAGGATGAAAAGAAAACAACTAAAGATGCTGGGGGAAAAAAAAAGGGGGGGGGGCAATGCATCCAGGAAAAGAATGCAGCCAGGTAAGCGCTGCAATTGCTGCTTATACTTTTCATTGCACTACCAGTTTTTACTGGTGCCATCGGAATTGGAAGTTCATTTGCTGCCGAAGACGGGGACGGAGTGCTTATGGGGGTGTCCCGAGTGCTATGATGTTGATTACTAATTCAACATTGCACACACAAAAATTTGGTTACTTATAATTACAGATTGGCCTTTCAGTTTACAACTCGCTGAAATTGTCAACGTTTGTTAAAGCAAAAAGAGAGCTCTCTGCGTGCTTATGCCATACCACTGAACATCTCAGAAGCAAACAGGATGTGGAATTGTACTGAATTGAAGAGAAATTACTAAAACGACTCCAAAAAAGCACACAAAGAAATAACGCAGTGGTAATATACAGATGGTAACTTAATGGTGATCAAGAATTTGTATCAACTTAATTGTGGCGTGTGTGAGTAAAAGTCAGTCAAAAGCACTTTTGTAGATTGGTGTCCTTTGTAAAGGATCAGGTTCATTGTTGACTGTCTCCCTACTGCAAGAACATTTGAACAGGCTCAGTTTAACATGCAGAAAATATCAAAGAAACTAAAACAGAAGTAATGCAGGTTAGCAGAATTCATAGCCCGCTGCATATCGCGTTGAATGGTGCTTGTCTGAAGCAAGTTAAAGAATTTACATTTTTAGGAATTTTATTCTCGGAGGACAGAAGAATAGTTTGGGCAATAGAAACAAGATGCCAACGAGCCAGTGCACCTATATATCAACCGACATTATTAAGACATTCAAATAAAAGCATGAGC